CTGTTGCATCAGGCGGCTCTGGGTTGTTCTCGCCCACATCTTCACCTTGAACAACATTGTTACTACAGTCCCAGTGATGCCCAGGAGTTACCTACCTGCAGCGACGATAGTATCGCATTCAGTTCCACAGTCAGCTTGCGTAGACGCTCTCCGACGCTGCTTTCCCCTCCGTGACGGCCGAAGATGACAATCTTGATCTTGGTTATCACAATTAGAGCATTTCGCTTGCCCTTGCGCTGTTCGGCTCTTGCACACAATCAGCGTGTTGCCCAGCACATCCACGCCCGAAGCGAGCGGGGAGACTGACCTGCAAATCGCACTTGATCTTCTTAGAATGACAAAAGAAACAAACTGCTTCAGCGCGCTTTCGTTTCGGCTGTCGAGCGCTGAAGTGGAGCCAATTGCCGACGAGTTCTGTCATTGCCGGATGAGAGAGTGTTATGGTGTTTCGTAAGGTGAAAGGTTGGATGCCGATGCAGGTCCAAGGAAAGACTGGCTCAGGCCCCAGACTAACCCCAGATTTAGAAGCCGAGGTCCTGGTTCAGGTTGCAATGGGCGGGGGAGGTGCGTTAGTTTTAGTGGGTCTTGGCGCGATAAGACGCTGTAGTAACTTTGCTCCGCTGAGATTCAGTTCAGCGTATTTTTCCCCCGCCAGAGGTTCTGTCGCATATCTCCGGAAGAAAGAACACGGGCATTTCCTTGGGTTCATTATAATGAGTTTATGCTGCTAAGGTCTAAGCTATATCAGAAATTCTAGATATTATGATAAAATTTACAAGAGCTTTATCCTAATTTACCTCATTTCCTAGATTTCTAGCTTCAGGGTAGGCATTTTGTGACGACATTCAAAGTGTGTCATTTCCAAAGATATCATTTTGTTACCAAGTGATAACAGCAGCAGTATGCTGTATACTACGTTATTAAAGGATTGGAATACTGTGAAAGGCATATTTCATTCGAACACTGCGTTAAAACTCATAAACCACTACACCAAGACCAGAACCATTCCGAGCCAACCTGACAGCCACTTGTCATCCACGACGTTTAGAGGATGTAGCGGAATTGCATGTTCTAATTTGTTAGTACCCGAGCTTTAAGTGATAACAGACGACTTACCTTCTTATCAGTGAGGTCATCTTCATAAGCATGATCGAACCCTTCAGTGGTACCAGACTTGTCGCGCTTGTTGTTAGACCACATGCACAAAACGCGGTAGACAAGAGCAAGTAGACCGGCTATGATGGCAGTAACGACAACCACAATGAAACCTGGCTCAAAGCGAGGTGCGTCTTCCTTCTTGAAGCAGAGAGGACCGACAAAGTTGCCAAGACAGTAGCCGATATAGAGACCAGAGGAGGCGACGGATCGCTTGGTGTATCCCGCGGTGTTGGCAATTTGAAGACCCATGAGAACAGCGTAGCCACCGCCCACGGAGGGGAGGATGTATACAGCAAAGAGGAGAGCTCCGGTAGCTGAGATAGGAAGAAGCCACAGTAACAAAGCAGCGAGGACAGTGCCCATCTGAGCGATAAAGACCAAATAAGACCTGTTGTTCTTGTATCGGTAGGCCAGGTAAGGGAACAGAAGCTGTAGTGTTCCAGCGTAAGCGCCGCAAGGCATCATAAGAAGCAAAGAGTTGAGGGTGCTGAAGCCGAAACCATTGATGATGATAGGAACAAAAGTCGAAATAGGTGCATTGGCGATCATAGACAAGAAAGCAATGGAAAATACAATCCAGAACTTGGGATCGAGCAAGAGTTCCCAGATCTGAGCGACTTTGAGATGGGTGTTGCGAACACCAGAGTTGTTAGTCTTAAGTCGCGCGACCAGAATGTATCTCTCTCTCTCACTGAAGCCCTTGGCGCGGACGGGATCAGGAGGGAGAACGAAGACGAGGATTACGCCCCAGACGATGGTGAGAGCACCGGAAAAGTAGTACATGTATCGCCAAGAAGATGTTCCGCCGTTGATGAGGCCGAATCCGTAGTTGATGATAGGGGAGATGATCGAGACGTAGCCGGTGCAAGAGTACCAGATTCCCATCCGCATTGCCTGCTCATTCTTCTTGTAGAAACTTCCCTGCAAAGACTCAGTAAGGACTCAATCAAGTTAGGTGGTAAAGGTAAGCATTCAACCACAGCCTCCGACCACAACTATGGACTCAACGGATATGAGACAGGCAGACTTACAACAATCATCATAAACATGGGACTGATACCACTCTCCAACAAGCCAAGGAAGAATCGCTGAGTATAGAGTGTCTTGTAATCCTTGCAAACCACAGTCAAGATGAGGCAGATACCCCAAATGGTGACAATGCCGGAAGCAACCCGTTCGATAGGATATCGCTGAGCGAGCATCATTGCTGGATAAGCTCCAATGATGAAACCGAGATAGAAAATGGCAGCCGACATAGCATATCGATCTCCGGTGAGAAGACCGAGATCTTGTCTGAGTCCGAACAAAGCCTGAGAGAACACATGTTAGCAACGACACGAAGCTTGGAGATACCAGACATACTGCTTGGGAAAGCATAGCCTTGTCGTAGTACTGCAGTCCGTCTGCATAACGTTAGCTTCTATCCCCTGTTCGACGATCATGCAGCTTACATGTTGCACAGAGGACAGGCATAAGCTTCCAATCAATCTTGCGACGCAACTTCTTCTCCTCCGCCTCAGTCCAGACCTCATCACCCCCGTAGGCCTCAAGGACTTTCATGGCCTCATCCTGATGGACGGTGTCAACTTCAACTCCTTGCTTGGGAGACATGTCTGCCTCCTCACGATGATTGATAGCTGCGCCCTTTTCAGAATCAGACATTGTTGATTGAATGGTGAATGATGATGATGGAGCATTTCGAGTGGATCAGAGCACGATACTTATCTTGAATGAATCTTGCTTTGATGCTGGATGGTACGGGGTAAAATTCTGGGGTAGAGTCCGGGGTGGAATTGTTGGTGTTAGACGAGCTTGGCAGCCTTTTCTCAATTAGGGTTACCGGGTCTTTGCCGATGGCCTGGACCCAGCGCTATTGTTGCGGGGTGACAACGTGAGCTTGTACAGTTCAAAATCCTCTAATTATTTGTGTCATCCGATCTTAACTCAGCTTGGACTTATCAGCCTAAGGATATTCAAGTCAAACTATTGGTAAAAGCATCAACTTTGTCTTGGTCTAGCACCTTCCTGAGTCACCACCAACCAAGACAACATGGCCCAGGAGAAAGCACCGCATCTTGAGATTCCTCCCGGAGAGGCAATCAAAGCCGTCAAACTCATTAATCCAGTCAATTTTGGTCCTGCGATTCTTGAGAGGTTCATGGCGCCTGCTGTTCCTGGCCTTGAGACATTCAAGAGTTCCCCTTCCTTGTCATTCCTCATTGAGCACCAATCTGGAAGGAAACTTGTCTTTGACCTGGGAATTCGAAAAGATTACGATAATTACTCACCGTCTATTGTCAAGTACTTGCCGACTACTAAGTACACTATCGAAGTAGCGGGGAATGTGGCAGACATCTTGCAGAATAATGGTGTCCCCTTGACTGAGATTGAAGCCGTGATATGGAGGTTAGTTCAACAAACCGAAAGAATCTGTTGATGGCCAAAGTTACTAAACTATCTAGTCATTGGCACTGGGATCACATCGGCGATCCTTCCAGCTTTCCCCATCTCACAGATCTTGTAGTAGGTCCGGGTTTCAAAGAAGCAATGCTACCAGGAGCCCCTGCGAACCCAGAATCACCCATCCAAGAAAGCGACTACGCGTATGTATAGTTCTAAAACATATGGATGGTAAAAGCTTACCATTGGTAGGAATCGTAATCTGCGTGAGATTAGTTTCGAAGGTCCAGACTCTGTCAAGATTGGTCAGTTCCCCGCGTTTGACTATTTTGGAGATGGTTCATTCTATCTCCTCGACAGTCCCGGGCATGCCGTCGGTCATCTTTGTGGCCTAGCAAGGACAACAACATCCCCAGACACTTTCATTCTGATGGGAGGAGATATCTGTCACTACGCAGGCATCTTCCGTCCTTCCAAGTTTCTCCCAGTCCCCGACACTATTAGTCCTCATCCGTGTCATCCACATGAGGAGGGTGTTCTCTGCCCTGGAGAAGCTTTTGCACGATTACAAAAGTCACGAGGAAGGGCATCAACTGATACTCTCTATGATTTGACGTTTGGCTTGGATCTCCAACTTGCCGCCAAGACTACAAAGCAGCTGCAGGAACTAGACTGTAACGAGAATATCTTTGTTGTTGTTGCTCATGACTCCACGGTACGCGATGGCGTTCCTCACTTCCCGAAGAGTCTTAATGATTGGAAAGACAGGGGGTTTGGGAAAGGGTTGAAGTGGGCTTTCTTACGCGATCTGGAGAAATTCTGGGAATCTGAGGGGTTGTTGGAAAGGCGAAAGGACTTGGATGAAAGGCTAGACCATAACGGCTCAACTTAGTGAATAGTTGAATTAAATTGTATTTTGAACTATGTTGATTCGAGAAGTTACCGTACAGTAGCCATTCACCTAAACTCGGGCAACTTGTAAGTGGATTACCGACTTGAAATCTGCTAATTCTGACATGTGTCACAACGACCTTTGGTCTATGGCTCTACTGGCTTGGCAAGCCACGAATTCAACAACTTCGGTTTCTTATCAACCCCGTGTCCGAGTATCGGACGCCCTTTGGTTAGCGTTTATGAGATGTCAAATGGCTCGGCAATGGCTGGTTATCCTCATTAGGATAAGCGTGTATAGCTTCAAGTTTAACTCTCGGTTACACGATACCCCAGCCTTCAACCCCCGGATGTGCGGGGTCGACAAGGACTCCCTGGAATGCGTATGGAGGAGAGTAAACCCGCGGGCATAAATCGACGCGCCGGACGTAACCTTATGATACCAAATGTGCTGCAACCCTCATTGATCTTTAAAACTTTGTCATACCTTCAGTACAGCGCCACTTCTCTATCTGGCAACAACCATATTATCATCGTTACACAATCTCACAATGCCTTCAGCACAACCAATTCGCGGTGATGCGTTCGGATCATCAGACAGCAACTTAGACTATGATGTCTTGATAATTGGTGCCGGACTCAGTGGCATTCTTAGCTTGTACCGCATGCGGGAACTTGGCTTGAAGACACGAGTTATCGAAGCAGGTTCCGGTGAAGGAGGCACATGGTTTTGGAACAGATATCCCGGTGCTCGATTTGACTCGGAGAGCTATTCATACATCTTCTCATTCTCACAAGAAGTCCTCGATGAGTGGAACTGGACAGAGCACTTTGCCCCTCAACCAGAAACCCTTCGGTATATCCAATATCTCACAGACAAGTTCGACTTGAAGCGGGACATGCAGTTCAACACACGCGTCAAGTCAGCAAAGTTTCAAGAAGATACATCGTCATGGCTTCTTGAGGATGAAGATGGCTCACAGTACACATGTCGTTATCTCATCACTGCGATGGGCATTCTCAACCAACCGACTTTACCCAACATCCCAGGCGTGCAAAACTTCAAGGGGCAAGCCTGGCATACAGCTAGATGGCCAAGCGATGCTTCTGCTCTGAATGGCAAGCGAGTGGGCATCATCGGAACCGGTGCAACAGCTATTCAGACCATCCAAGCTATCTCGGATAAGGTCGGCCACTTGACGGTATTCCAAAGGACGCCAAACTGGACAGCTCCACTACGAAACAAGAAGATCACCCCAGAGGAGATGGACGAGATTCGTACAAGATACCCCGAAATCTTCCGAAAATGCGCCGAGTCATATGCATGCTTCATTCACGTTGGAGACAGCAGGAGCGTCTTTTCGATGACAGAAGAGGAGCGTCAAGAGCAATGGGAGAAGCTATATTCTGAACCCGGATTCGCCAAAGTCCTCAGTGTCTCGGCAGATGTTTTTACAGACCACAAGGCGAACGAGCTTTACAGCAAGTTCCATGCTGATAAGATTCGCACAAGAATCAATGATCCAGGAGTTGCTGAGAAGTTGATCCCCAAGAACCACGGCTTCGGCACAAGGAGAGTTCCGCTGGAGAGTGGTTACTTTGAGGTTTTCAATCAGTCGAATGTGAAGCTGGTTGATATTAGAGAAGATCCAATTTCTCAGATCACAGAGACTGGTGTTCAGACGGGAGATACGTTTTATGAGCTTGATGTTCTGATTTACGCCACTGGGTTCGACGCTGTTACTGGTTCCTTCAACGCGGTTAATATTCAAGGCCGGAACGGAACGAATTTGAGGGATGTCTGGGCTGAGGGCATCAGGACATTCTTAGGACTTACTGTCCAGGACTTTCCTAACATGTTTATGATTATGGGTCCCCATCAGATGTTTGGAAACATTCCAAGGTATGAAACCAAGCATTTACCACTATTATTGTTACTAACAAGGTGTCTCACAGGTCTATCGAATATGCCGCGAACTGGGTGGCTGAGTTCATAAGATATGCTCGCGATAACAAGATCATCAGTGCCGAAGCAACTGACAAGGGAGTGGAGGAATGGACTCAGCATGTGCATGATTGTGGTAAAGGACTACTGGCCAACGAAGTTGACTCATGGATGACCGGTGTCAACAAGAACTTGGCTCATAAGCAAAAGAGGTCCATGACGAGATACAATGGTCCTGCACCAGGGTATCGAAAGAGATGTGATGAGGTGAAGGGGAGGGATTACTCGGACTTTGTCTTAAGATATGCTTGAGGAATAGAGTCGATCTGAATATAACCCTTATTTGATATGGTCCTGCGATGCTGGGATATTGAGGAGTGCTACTGGTGTCTTATTGGTCAGGCAACTTACCGCAAGCTCTATTATGAGCAGGGGTCGTGTACTTAGATGAGTTTAGGATAGTTTTATGACAATCAAGTATAACTTATGACAACTTAGGATAGTTTAGATGCTTCAAATTAGAATAATTCAGGATAACTCCTTATGGATTCAACGGAACATTCGACTCTATTCTATAGTAGAGTCCCAAGTCTTCTAAGGCCACGAGGATACGGTCAATGAACTTCTTTGTCTAAGCAGTCTTGACTTCAAACTTTCTAGGCCGAGGGTTCGAGATTGCCCAAATAATTCCCTCCTCCATCACTCTATCCCATCGCTTGGACTCAGTCAACTGATCCCCATACCTACGGAAGCCATGAGGCAACCCTTTGAAGACATGAATATCAGTGGGGACGCTGTTTTCATTTCATGTCAGTTGTTTAAATGATATCAAAACCAGTGACTGCTGACTTACCCTGCCTCGGCAAGCTTTTTGCCATACAAAAGGCCTTCATCCCGCAGGGGATCGGCACCGGCAATTCCAAAGACAGTGGGAGGGAGGCCTTTCACCTGAGAAGCCGATGCGTTTCCAGTGTTTGCTCGGAAATCATCAGCATCTGGAAAAGGAACCGGAAACTTCAACAGTCCAGTAAAGAAGTCGATGACTTTCTTGGGAAGAATCGGTGCATCTTCATTCTGGACATATGAAGACGCCAAGGGACTCGTGAGTTGGTCAAGCTGTGACTGATAATGATCAAGGTGGACCAGAGCTGGGATCATCAGGATCTGTCCAGCAATCTTGGGATACTGTCGGATATCTGGTGCAGAGATGTTCTGTCTCAAAGTCAGAGCGGCTGCTAACTGAGCACCAGCGCTGACCCCTCCAATCACGACTTGATCAGGCTTGCCTTGAAGCTCATCGATGTGATCATGTATCCAGTAGAAAGCGTCTTCGACATCATTCCAAGCTGTAGGATATATATGATCCGGCGTGTGGCGGTAGTTGAGATTGACAACGGTTACTTTCGCACCAATTGCAATTCGCGAGGAGATGGCATCTTCGGATGAGAGTGTCCCGAATAAATATCCTCCACCGTGAAGATGGATGTAAATAGGTAGACGAGCATCGTCAGCGGCATCAACAGGCCTATAGCTTCGTGCTTCTACAAAAGAATCGTCTCTCGTAGGAATCTTGTAATCTTTCATACGGACCAGGTGACCTAACTCCTTCATACCATTCGCAGATATCTCCTCGCGACCTTTATTGACTACGGCCTGTCTTTCATAGATGTCTGCGAATGTGGGAGGAGGCGGGAGACTTGCTTCCACGGCAAGCCATTCAGCAGATTTGGGGCCATATTCCGAGAAGTCGCACATGATGAAGATTTGATGGTGTTGCAAGAGATAAGTTACGTTCCTGTCCAGTCTCAATAACTCACTGGCTTGATCGAAATGCATAAATGAGGGGTATCACTGCTTCAGGGTACGCAATTGGCGGCCACCATGCGTCCTTGCCGCCGTACCTCGGTCCTACCCCACAAAATGAAGTTGAATTAAGGTCTGGCAATGCCCGATTGGGAAAGCCGCCCAGCATTCCGAAAGGAAGGAGCACTCCATGTCAACCTCATGATTAAATTTGCCTCACTAGGATGATTCATTGTTTAAATCACTTCGTAGTTGTGTATTGATTGCTCAGAAATAAACATCACCATGGCCGAGATACCCACCCAACCTCCTTCCCGTTCACTAAAAGACAAAGTCGCCATTGTCACAGGCGCCGGCTGCTTTGGAGATGGAATTGGCAATGGCAGAGCGATATCGATCATGTTGGCCAATGAAGGTTGTAATGTGATATGCCTTGACATGAATCTTGGATGGGCAACAAAGACGGCTGATATGGCCAACCAAAGCTCAGCCTCCAAGAAGGTAATACCGGCACAAGGAAATGTCACAGACGCAATCGATTGTGAAAAAGCCGTTGCTCTTGCATTGAAGGAGTTTGGGCGCCTGGATATTCTGGTCAACAATGTCGGCATAGCAGGCGCGTCGGGGACTGCTATTGACGTGGATATGGCCAAGTGGACAATGGGTCTTGAGGTCAATGTGTCAAGCATGGTTTTGATGGCAAAGTATGCCATACCCGCAATGACCAAGAATGATGGAGAGATCAAGGGTTCTATTGTCAACATGGGGAGTGTAGCTGGCTTGAAGGGCGGTACACCTCATTTGCTCTATCCAACCGCAAAAGGAGCAGTGGTCAATATGACCAGAGCCATGGCCGCTCATCATGCCAAAGATGGTATCAGAGTAAACTGCGTTTGTCCTGGAGTAAGTTATGAGACCCGAAGAACATGACGACAGAGCTAATGATTCCCAGATGCTTTATACACCGATGATGTACGCCAAAGGTATGTCAGATGAGGCTAGAGAAGCAAGGAAGGCAAGGAGTCTACTCGGAACTGAGGGTACAGCTTGGGATGCTGCTTGTGCAGTTGTGTTTCTGGCGAGTAACCATGCAAGGTGGATCACGGGTGCTATTTTGCCGGTTGATGCTGGAACGACCGCTGCTGTTGGAACTAGCCTGCCTGCTGGTGCGAGCGTTAATGGTTGAAGTAGACAGAAAAACAATTCGATGTGATCGGTCTGGTCAGTAAACTAACTCTATAGCATCGATGAGATATAATCTTCGATGAAAGCCTAACTTCCCCAACACACTGCCTTACCTGATCCAAGATGACTTGACTCTAAGCGTTGCTTGATTTTTGACTATCTGTTGTGTAGCGACTACCCAGCTCACAGATACTAGGTTGGTATCAAGGAAGCTTTGGTGATCATTGCAAAATCAATTGAATTTATAAACAAGGCTAATCATGTAGTAAAGCTACTCTCGCCTTAATCTTTCCTTCACCCAACGCCCCAAGAACTTCCTCAAAATCTGGAAGCTTTCTGGTTTCAACTCGTGGACTGATATGCCCAGAAGCAATAAGCTCAAGAACCTTCTCCAGATCTCTGACTTGACCACCGTAAGAGAAGATGAAGGAAAGTCTCTTTCTAGTACCAATCTTCATATGAATGGTATTTTCTGTGTCAAGACTGCCGATGCAAAGAAGTTTGCCGCCACGACGCACTAAACACATGTTAATCTGGGCTGCGCGGAATTCAAATAAAGATATTCGCTTACCGATATGTTGAGCGTCTTCAAATGTCTGATGGGTTCCGACAAAATCCAGAACTGTGTCTATCTTTCCTTCCAGGCCATTCTCTTTTATAAAGTCTTGTGGAGGTTTTCCTACTGGAACAATATCGTTTTCGGGAATCCCTAGAGCTTTTGCTTCATCAAGTAGTTCTTGTCGAATGTCGGAAACTATCACCCTTGCTCCGATGTAACGAACAATCTGAAGAGCATTGAAACCCAGACCACCAAGACCGAACAGAAATACTGTCTCATGTTTCTTGACCTCTCCTCTCCTAGTGATGGCGTGAAAAGCCGTATTGACGGCGTCAGTTGCCACTGCTGCTTCCGCTGGCGTTACACCTTCGGGGACCTTGACCGCAGCTCGAATATCAACTGCGGTATATGGTGCATAGAAGCCATCTTGACCTATGCCTGAATGATGGCCCCTTTCACACAGTTGAGCCAGATCGCGAGAGCATTCAGGGCAATCGTCTTGTCCACAGCCGGGAACCGCGTGAAGAGCCACGATATCTCCCTGTAAACTATTAAGTACCAAGTCAACCTGGTAGCTGGAGAATATTCCTTACCACTTTCAGTTCATTATCTTGAACATTGCTGCCGATCTCAATAATCTGTCCGCAACCTTCGTGGCCCAGGATATACTTTTCCTGAAACCAAGATGCTTGCTTTTCTATTGTGAGAAGCGAATGATCGCTTCTGCAGACTAAGATATTGGTCAGATTTTAGTCAGTAACCAGGGATGAGCTTTCGTACCGCCAGATGCCAGCATCTTACAAAGAATGCCATTTGGTGATACTTTGGGAACGGGAACTTCTTCGAAAACCTCGAATATGTTAGTAAGTTGATTTAGAATATCGGAGATTTGTATTACCGGCTTAGGACTTCCTCGATGTTTCCTCCAGGCAAACATGGTTGCTGGTACTCTTTCGGAATTCGTAACAGTCATGGTGAAACTTGGTTGATAATTTCAATGTGGTAATCGAAGTTGACTTTTCTCACTGGACTATAGATAGCAGTAGTCCAGCCTAAATCACGTCCTATTTTTCGGCTTTCTGAGAGCTGTAGTCGGCTCGGTTTCCTTTCACAGACACGGACGGATTTCGGTAGGATTTTCTACCGAGGTTCTGCGAGGCAATGAGGACCTATGGTTGGCTGAGAAATCCACTTCCAATAACGTGGGGATGCGGGGGATTGGCCCCTATCTGAGATGGCAATGCTCTCGGTTTTCCTATAAGAGTTAGGTGGCTCCGCCAAGAACTCCATCACCATCATTTTCGTGACATTGGGACGCTGGGTCGCTGATGTCCTTCAATAAGCAATTCACTCTGAACGTCTCGATTCTGCTGTAACCTATCATAGTGCGCCGCGAGCTTCAAGGTGCGGAAAGAAAGGACCTCATACCAACATGGTGTTCACTTCTCCGAGCTGGGTGCCTCAGCTCCCAATTGGTGAGTCGTGTGCCAATAACGATGAAACTTCCCATTGCTGACACATTGAAGATCCTCCGGATTCGATACCAATTGCTGAGTTTATGAAGAACGAGGCGTATGGTCGCCAACCCATTGCTAAGAGCAGACATCCTTTTACTTGCGGTATCACTGGACGTTCATACTCAGCACCTGAACTGTTTGAGCGATCGGAGTCCTTTGCAAGAGCTTTGGCAAAGCGTCTTCAATGGCAGCCAAATGAGTCAACGCCATGGGATAAGGTTTTGGCTATCTTCTCTCTGAACACAGTACGTATATGACTGGTCCTTGTTAGAACAGCTGTCTGATACATAACTCTAGATTGACTTCGTGACCGCCATCTATGGTGTTCACCGACTCAATGGAATAGCTACGCCAGCCAACGCTGCTTATTCCTCTGATGAACTGACTCATCAACTTAAGGCATCAGGAGCCAAGGCTCTAGTCACTTGTACGCCTCTACTCGAGGTAGCACTTGAGGCAGCCAAGAACGTCGGTATACCAGATGAAAACGTATACCTCTTCGACATACCACGAGCTGAACCCCCTTCGAGCTTCAAACATGCTTCTGTTGAGGATCTTATCAACGAGGGTTCGAAACTTGCAGAACTTGAGAAGCTCCAGTGGGTTCAAGGTCAAGGTGCACGTCAGACAGCCTTTTTATGCTTCTCAAGTGGAACATCAGGCTTGCCGGTAAGATCTTTCTGTCCCTATCTGTGATACATGCTGATATCATCCAGAAAGCTGTCATGATATCTCACAGGAACGTCATCTCGAATGTGTTGCAGCATGTCACTTATGACTCTGTTGCCAGAAGGAAGAAGGGCGTCGAAACCCAAACAGTGACAGGATTCTTGCCCTTCTCTCATATTTACGGTCTTGTTATTGCTGCTCACACTTGCACTTGGCGAGGTGATCAGGTTATTGTTCTCCCGAAATTTGAGTTCAGTGATTTCCTCAAGTCTATCCAAGAGTTCAAGATTCGGCAGCTATTAGTGGTTAGTGTAACTACTCTTCTTGTGACTATCCTTACTAACAGCTTTTGTCAAGGTGCCACCAATCATCATTCAAGTCCTGCGTTTCAAGGATATTTGCGCCAAGTATGACCTGAGCAGTGTTCGATTTGTCTACTGCGGCGCTGCACCTCTGGGTGAAGAGACCATCCAGGATATGAAGAATCTCTACCCGGATTGGACAATCGCTCAAGCCTATGGTTAGTACCTCCATGATATTTCTACCAGGAACTCATGACTGACTATACGAAGGAATGACTGAAACTGCAACTGTCGTCACATCTTCAAGCGAAGATGATGTCTTTACAAAGGGCTCTGGATCCTTGTTGCCGGGTGCTAGGGCCAAGATCATTGACCTTGAGGGCAACGAAGTCACTGAGTATGACAAGCCAGGCGAGCTCCTCGTTCAGGCCCCATCAGTTGTGTTGGGCTATCTGAACAACGAGAAGGCTACGTCTGAAACCTTTGTACACCACCAAGATGGAAGATATATCCGCACTGGAGACGAAGCAATCGTGACTTTGGCTCCTTCGGGTCACGAGCATATTGTAATTGTTGATAGGATCAAGGAACTCATCAAGGTCAAGGTATGTGAACTACACCATGTCTGGCGAAGCCAATACTGACCATTAGCAGGGCCATCAGGTTGCACCGGCGGAACTCGAGGCTCATATTTTGACAAGCCCCCATGTCTTCGACTGTGCTGTGATCCAAGTACCCGATGAGAGGTCAGGAGAGGTACCGAAGGCTTTTGTAGTGAAGAGTTCCTTGGCTGAGTCTTTGGATGAAGGCCAGGTGGCGAGTGATATTATGAAACATGTTGCGGACAACAAGGCTTCTTATAAACAACTTAGAGGAGGTGTAGAGTTTCTAGAGGTTATACCCAAGAGCCCGAGTGGAAAGATCCTCCGTCGACTGCTCAGGGATAAGGAGCGGGAGAAGAGACGAACTGAGGGAGCAAAGCTATAGATTCTAGAATACCTGAACGCTTATTCGTCTATTCTAATATTTACATTATTTATCCGAGCAATTACCCGATGTATATCTCACAAAGAATTATGCATCCCGATATCCGTACTGTGAATATCTTCTGGTCGCAAGAATTTACTACCATCTGAACAATGAAATTCCATAACTGATTCATATTGTGACTTTATAAAGCTTATCAAAAATTGAAAGATTGGCAGGTTTGCATAGACAATTTCCGGCGAGAATGCTCGCTTGAATACCCAGCCATGCAGAACGAAGATTATCTTGATAGCTCATCGAATTACATTGATCGTTGTCATATTTCGCGTTTCCAATATCATCATACGAGCCATTAGCATTTGAGTGCAGGGAAGTCATGTGAGTTCATGTCTTGCAGAAGAGGGAAGTTGAGGTATTCAACATCTCCAGCTGGTGATGTTCCTGAAGTACTCGACGGTTCGAGGGTCCTCTGGCAAGGCTACGCCAAGATTGTAGTTGTATGAAGTAGTGAGACCTCTGTCGTCAAGCTTATCATCGCAGCCCGTGTAGCTTTTCATTCGGTTAGATCACTGCACCTACGTGAAAAGTGATAACTTACTGGTAGAACTGACAAACACCGCCAGTGTTGGTAGAAATGGAAGTGACGTTGTGGTTAAATGCATCCGAGATTGCAGTCTGGTCATCGCCCTTCTTAGGGTCGAAGTCGAAGTAGGAGACTTCCCATAATCAGTACAAGTACACATTGTAGAGAGGTAACTAAAACATACCGCATTTTCCGGGCTCGGAACCGAAGGAGATGCATTCGGGTCTGAATCCAACAGTGGTGCACTGCACGACAAAGATGTAACCATCTTCTAGGTTGTAGTCGCGGTTGGGGTCAGGCTCATAAACCTTGGGTATATCGCGCTTTGTCTTGCCGCCCTCATAGACGAGGGTTTTACTCTTCTCAAAGGCTTCCTTTGCAGCACTGTTCATAACGGAGCCAACAAGTTCGATATTGGCTGCTTGAACACTAGTCGCGGCTGCGGCCAAGAGGGCAAATGCAGCTGAGGCAGAGCACTTCATGTTGGAATATTGCGTTTGTGTTTCTTGAGGTTGTACTGAGATGGAATGATCCAGGTCAACTTCTTGGGGATTCATTACGCTTATTTATAGTCAACAGGTTCTTGAAATTACGGCAGATATGTCATGCCGACTCGGAAAGTATCGTTCCATAGTCGATGGTAAGGTAGCATCCTCAAATTCTCTCATACTCATAACTCTACAGAGTACGGAGTATTTACCCATTTAGAATTGACTTTACAGCCTCGTGCGCATCTTTCGGATGGTTCGGGGAGAACATTGGCCGCTCAGGCACTACAGGCATGAAATGGCGATCCTTTGATGTCCTGCCGCTTTGATGTTGATGCTTTTTAGACTGATAAACCAAGGTGAGGCACGTGGACGCGGCAGCACAGACTCGTTTGAGATTCTTAAGGCTCACTGCGAGAACACAATGCTTTGACGACTTTCGAAACAAAACGTTTGAATAATTTGCGACCAATTGAAGGTTTATTCATTCATAAGGATCATCGCTGGACCGTTGGACAGGTCGCATGAGAGTGCAACGTTGGTGCGGTCAAGAAAGTTTAATGACCTTATGCAATTAAATAGTCTTCCGGCAGTTACAACATCAGTTTAATGTCATCATAGCTTGCACCTCGTTCTCAAAAAGCAGCATTGCATTGGTCTTGTGCCTGGTACAAGATCTATTAGGCTTTTGCTTGGTTGCATTGATAGACAAGAGAGACGTTTTTATGCAGCATCCAGCTAGGATCTTGGCCGATCGTTGAGGAAACAGCTTCCCAAATAGTATTTACTATCAAAAGAACCCGAGAGCCGAGTCGTTGTCATCCGCCCAGTCATATGGTACCGATATCCCGGCGTTGGTCATTGACTCGCACCATGTATTATAACCGTTGATTATCGAAGCTGCCTCGCTTTCTCCTACACTTGGCACGAACGGGGCGTTGTCGCAGTATGTGCGGGCTCCCTCTTCATCCAAGTGTGGCCAGCACAGCTTGAGAGTGATATCGCGGCACTTTGAGCTGTTGGGGTTGAGTTCTGCCATGGCACCCATGATTGATAGAGAGGCCTGGATCTGCGAGCGCCAGTCGGGTGCTAGCGCGTGATGAGGGTTCTGCCTCAAGCAGTGAACGGGAATTAGTGTAGCATGGAATAAGAAATACCTGTCGTCGTTAGTGGATGATCTTGCTGGGGGCTCGGGAATAGCTTACAGGATATAAAAGGCTGCGAGCCTTGAATGCGATCGAGATGTCCAGTAACCTTGGATATGTGTGATTGATTCTTTCGCCGCATCGAGGCATCTGAAAACAGCCAGGTTCTCACTACTTGTCAAGTTTTGCTGGGCGTTCTGTGCGGATGATCGTGCCCAGCGGACCAAGAACGGGCGATACATGACGATCCTGAGGTTTCTGTAACGCCACTCGGAAATACCCATGCCCAAGGCAAACTCAGAGTCTGGGGGGGGAACGGCAAGATAATAATATGGTACTTGGGCCAACCAAGAGCCGATGCAGACATCATCCAGAGTTATCAGCTCCGTGGCGGACGGGAAGGGGCTGGTGATAAGGCGGTTGTAAACGGTCATTGTGCTAAGATGATAGGCTGACTGAACCCGGATATATGTGTACATCGTGATACCCTCGACTTCGGGTGGGCAGTGAGTAGAGTCCTGGGTTAGATCCTAGAGTAATAATCAATAAGAGAATCCACAGGTTCGTTCTAATCTACTGACCTTTTCGTGGATATTCAGAGGGAAAGCAGTCTCGACACCAGCCTGGGGCCAGTTCAAGGGTCTGCCGTAGGTGATGGTGGCACCAACATCAAGCACACATAGACACCACCATATTCTACGTCGAGTCTCTGTCTGTAAAGGAGAAAGATTGTTTCCTTCCAAGTCCTTGTGAAGTCCAAGACCGATAGCTAGTCGAATAGCCAGGCCACCATAGTTGAAACCGGTGTTGGGCTTATTTCGTTTCTGCATGTAGTTCGATGACAAGCTGAAAGCTTGCACAAGAGTCAGATTTCCAACCTCGAGGTAGTTGGAAAACAGGCTCTTTTGTGCGGCTTGGAAGATCGGTAGGTCAGTAGCATCGGCGACATTACTGCTCGCAAATGATCCTAAAGCTGCAAGAATGTTTGCCAGCGTGTTCCAGTGACCTTTGTTGGCACAAGGCAACGTGCCCGCATACTGCGCTCGAAAAGTGGGCTCATGCACGATAGGAAACGTGGGATGATAGAAAACAAAGAAGGCATCGATGAGGTTTTCGACAGCGACTCGGGTCAGCATGGCTTGAGAACGAAACCATTGTGAGTGATCTGAATGTTGTTGAAACAGAGACTCAATCTCATGTAGTGCCACTTCGGCGTCAACTTCTTCTCCATCTGGACGGGCAGATAGGATCTGACGCAAGAGAGCGGATCCAGAAGCAGCTCCATAATAACCTCTCTTTTGATCACCAATGGTCAGAGAGGCCATGCCGTCCATGATAGCTTGAGGGTTCCCGTCAACATGGCTTGTTATAGACCAGCTGGCGGGATCATATGTTCCCCATGAAGTCTCCTGTTCGTTCCACTCAAAGTTGTCAGCTGGAGATGGAGTTGCCTCGAATGCTGTGTCTTGTGACGCAGTCCATAGTCCAGGGGCAGCATCTAACTCGCCAATGGGTGCGAGAAGCAAGGGATCTGTGGTGAATGTTCCTGCGTTTCCTGTGCCTGTCATATAAAGACTAGAGTCAGGTGTCTGGTTTGGCAGCTGTAGAAGGTTGTCCACATTGCCTGGGGTCGGGGTTGTATTTGGCAAGCTGACTAACCCCGGTGTTGCTCCTAAGGTTAGTGCTGGGGTTGGTGCCGATTCAGGTGCAGTTGATGGTGTCGCTGCTGGTACTTGTTGATTCTGAGTTACTAGTCCTTCTTTTGGACCTTCTAGCATTTCAGCAATCTGGCCATCAGTGTAATGTCGCCTCAAGACTGTTTCAGCCTTCTCAAGACGCTCCTCCAGGAGGGTGAGTTGTCTACATCACTGTTAGTCCGACAGGTTCCCCAGTCACTCCTAGATGTGGCCCCATGTATGTACCTTCGGGTTAAGCGGGTTCTACTGTGCTTGTCGTAGAGGCAATGTCTTCTGTACTTTCGGCAGATTGAGCAGACGGGCATAACACCATCGCATTTCACTTTGCGGCGTCGACATTCTCGACATGTAGTGGGCTCTTCTACATTAGGTGTTTGTTGAGCAGGAGAGGGCTTGACTGAGTTTGGATCCATGATTCGTCCAGCCGTTGAGGATCGAAGGGCTAAAGTCTGAATGCTTTAGAAGATGGGATGATGGTTAGAATTTGCGACGTACGGTGGCTAGTAAACCCATTGTTAGGAACCCTTGTCCATCCCCGCAATTTAGCCCCGCAATTAGTACGCTTTCGGCCCGACTTAAACACGGGACCAGACATTCGGATCTAAACAGGAAAGAGTAAGCTGACGGACGCCTGACCACTTGAAGCCATCACTTCCAGCGGATTGTCTGGTCTAAGTCATTTCTACCAGAGTATGAATTATTACCTGCATTTCCAGTTATGAAATGGTATAATCACTGTCCTTCTCTACCTTCGCATTACTATTTGAACCCCCACCACACAATTCACGCTAAGGCACTTGCAAGCTAACCCCCACTACCGTGCGTCAACACCTGTGTAAAAAGGCGGCCTTCAATGCAATGGATCGTGTGTGATGATTTGCTACAGGTACAGAGCGCAAGCTCGAGTGAAAGTTTTACTTAATCTACCATTTCGACATCTTCACTTTTGGTTCTTGGTCAAACAGCTACTAGAACAAATAGTGTCTTATTTGAGATTGCCTCTTTTAAATGCAAAGGTCTAGGGTAGTTCGAGATACTAGCTACACCCATCCCATCCCAAGCCTTAAACAAGATAACGGAAGCCCTTTTGAACTCGAAGAGCTTCATCAGCCTCAGCCTCACGGGCCTTCTCAGTGGCATAAGCTTGTGTCTCCTCCCGTTCAAGCTCCTCAAGTCGCTTGTTCAACCTGGAAAGCATCATGCGAAGAACAAGAGCACCGACAATGGTGCAACCAAACATAGCTGTGACAATGCCATAGCTCTTGCGGTAACCATCCTCCTTGAGACCCCAGACGTATGATCCTGCGATGTTACCCAATTGTGCGAAGGCGTTGATGAGGGCGATGGCCACGGCTCGCTTGGCAGGGGGACGAGGGAATGTTGAGCTGATCCAAGAATAGAAGACGATGTATCTAGGAGTTGATGTTAATTGGAAGTTCTGAAATACTGATAATTTTAGAACAGCGACTTACCCAGCGTAAGAAGATGCTTGGAGGAAGAGAGCAAGGTATCGTGCAGCAACGTTGAGTGTCGACATGCTGATGATAAAGCCGACGAGGCCAATACAAATAGGACCGACAATGTGCCAGAACTATGAAATTGTTAGTATGTGGACCATACGTGGTATGTGTTTATGAGAGCATACCTTCTCTTGTGTTCGGTCGGAACTCCAGGCAACGATGAGAGAAACGATGCATGCAAAGAGCCAAGGAGGGGAGCTCATGAGGAGAGTTGGCACATAAGCGAAGCCGAGGGTGCTGGTAAGAGATGGCTATAATATGTCAGTGCATGGAAAAGAGACAACGGATAGGAGGAAGTCTTACGAAGAAGGCGTTAAAAGACAGACCGACAACGTAGACGGCAAAGGTAAGCATCATGACATAGATCTTGCCATCCTTGAGGGCCATCATCAATCCGGCAAAAGCTCCCTCGCCCTCAGCATCCTCGTCAGCCTCACCAACATCCTCGATCATTCGGAGTTGAGCTACTGCAAGCTCCTCTTGAGAGAAACCGCGGGTGTTGCTGGGAAGATCGGGCAGGATGAAGACAGCCAGGATGGCGATGAACATGGTAATGGCACCCTCGACTATGTTATTGTTAGCCATGGTCTTCGTCAAGACTGGTTAGAAGAACTTACTCCAGAAGAGCCAGCGCCAGGAGGCGTGCCCGAGCACGCCATCCATCTCAGATAACACTCCAGCAGCAATCAGAGCTGAGAACGCGTTCGAGATCAAGTTGCCACAAAAGAGCACAGCATTTCTCTTTGTAAGTTCTCGGCGGGTATACCACTTGGAAAGGATAAGCAACGCTCCGGGCAGGAAGGCAGCTTCAGTGAAACCGAGGAAGAAACGAATAACAACCATTCCGGTAAAGTTATGCACGTTTCCCGAGAGGGTTGAAATCAAGCCCCAAAGAAGCATGATAGCACCGAGGTATAATGAGGGTCGTTGGATCTTGTTGATGAACATGTTGGAAGGGACTTGCATAAGGATGTAACCAACATAGAGGATGCTGAGACATGTGGCATACTGGTTATCATCCAGTTTAAGGTCATCCTGCAAGCCCTTGAGTCGAGCAGCCGCAATGTTGTTTCGATCGAGGTAGTTCATGATGTAAATCAGAACGAAGAGAGCGCAACGGGCATCGAGCTTGAGTTTGAGACGCTTCTCAACCCGAGCACGAGTTTCGGGATCCATTGTTCGGGCAAGGGCGAGACGATCGCTGTGAGGAACAAAGCTTTCGAGGTTCTCCTTTGTCTCGAAGGAGGGCTTCTCAGCTCGAGCTGCGCTGATGGCAGCCGAGTTGGTGATCTCGTTGGTCATGATGGCGAGAAAACCACAAGTTCCTGATAAGATAAGAAGAAAAGATAAAGTTGGATGGAACTCCAGATGAGTGATGATCCTCTGGGGTTTGGGGAATTAAACTATCTGGGGTATGGGGAATGGATGAAAAGTATTTATGTCAATTCATAAGGTGCTTCATCGGCCAACTCCATGCATCTTGGAGTTTCAGCTTCACGCGAGCAATTCTCTAGTCAACCCCATGTTCGACAGAACTTGGAGAAATTCGGAGACCACTTACCAATTCGAGACTAGTTGCGAAAAAGTCAACTATGGAGAAAGGCTGACTGTCAGCTACCAATCGGAACATTGGAGTTTTGGCTGGGATGGGGTTTTTAGTGTCGGTACTTGGCTTGTGCGTGGTCGACAGTCAGCCTGGCAGTGGGACATGATACGTAACTAGAGTCTTGGTAGGGGAGAAGTTTAATGAGGCTCTTTCTCCACGCTACAGGTCTGTCGTTCTCGATCCCCGTGGGGGTTCTCCGGCTTCAAACGGCATGGAAATTCGGAGACTCCGCATCGCCGAGTCATGATTATTGGGCGCTATTCAAGTTGACTGTCGACCTCTTCGTGGAAAATCGTCAAGAACGTTCTTTATTATCGTTCATCGTTCGAAGTTTCCCTGATTTTGAGGATCTATGCGCTTTTTAGATAGTTGACTGTCAACCTCATCATGTGAAACTTGAGGCAGTGCAGCATCATGGCTCACATCAGCTTGATCGTATCAAGTGATTTATTAAGGAATTCTCGTGTATTTAACTCCTCGATTGGACGTGTCATGAAATGTAGATATTCTGAATCTTTAAGTGGACAAGCCTCCTGGTTTAACCCTTTCCTCCTAATCAACTACATCTTTTGATATCATTGACTCAAAATGGAGATTACCAAAGTAATTACCCCAGATCAACACCATCTGTTTCCAATTCCACTAACACACACTTCCACTAGGTCGGAATTATTGGAGCAGGCACCATGGGGGGTGCCGTCTCCCTCCTCTTCGCAGAAAAAGGTCTAGACGTGTCTATCGTTGATACATCACGAGCAAGTCTTGATAAGGTCGCGAAGAACGCGGAGGCGGCCGGACTCTCGAAACGAATCCATATCTGCGAAGACTACGATGCCCTTTGCCAAGGGCTTGGCTCACCCAAGGTCTTTATCTTCAGCTTGCCCAACGGTCGTCCTGGTGATAGTGTCGTCGCGCAACTCAAGTCACGTGTTTCAAAAGGCGATATCCTCATCGACGCTTCGAACGAGAACTACGAACGCACCCAATCGAGGCAGGAGATTCTTCGTCCTCTTGGTGTTGCATATATCGGACTCGGCATTTCAGGTGGTAGCTTTGGGGCTCGGTATGGTCCTTCGCTTATGCCAGGTGGTGAGAAATGGGCCGTTGAGCAAGTCCTTCCCCTACTGTCGAGGATCGCGGCCAAGGATGATCAAGGTCGTCCTTGTGTGACCAACATTGGCACTGGTGGAAGTGGCCACTTTGTAAAGATGATTCACAATGGTATTGAGCATGGAATCATGTCCAGTCTTTGCGAAGCATGGGAAATTATGGACAAGTGCTTGAAGATGACCGGTGATGAGATTGGCGACGTCTTTGACTCTTGGTGTGAGAGAGGAGAACTGGCAAGTCCTTTCCAGAAGCTGACTATCTGTAAGCTTGCTAACCAGTTATGATGTAGAAAGGCAACTTCCTTGTATCGATCAGCGGCCCCATCTGCAGAACCAGAAGCCCTGTCGATGGCGGTTCTCTGCTGCATCAGATCAGGGACGCCGTTGTCCAGGATGCCAACGACTCTGAAGGAACTGGAGTTTGGGCCAACATCGAAGCTGTTGCATCTCACGTCCCTGCACCAAGCCTGACCGCAGCACACTACCTACGACTTGCCTCCGCCGAAGTCGAGCAAAGAAGTGCCGTCAAAGCCTCCATTGGAACCGTTTCCCCACAGCCCTTCACAGTTGCACCCGAGAAGCGAGCCCATATTCTTGAACAACTACGCCAAGCTGTCTATGTTACGAGTCTCGCGTGTTTCATCCAAGGATTTGACGTCATGGAGCGCAAGAACCGACAAGAAGGTTGGGGTGTTGACATGACACGTGTCTTGAACATCTGGAGGGCTGGCTGCATCATCAAGTCTGATTATATCTTTGACATCCTAGACACTGCATATGCTGAGGGCTCTGACGTGCATCCCCTGTGCAGACCTGGGGTACCGAACGAGATCAAGAAGTCTTGGCCTGCGCTCAAAGCGATTGTGCTTGAAGGTCTAAAGGCTGACGCTCACCTGCCTTGCTTGAGCGCCACTTTGGAATATCTCAAGTACATTGGAGGAACTGATCTTCCCACTTGCTTCTCGGAAGCTCAGCTGGACAGTTTTGGTGCTCATGGATTTGACCTGAAGTCAGAGCCCATTAGGCATCTTCTGAAGGGTGAGTGACGCTTTGCTTCAGAGTCAGACTGGAAGCTAACATAATCTTACTAGGAAACCACCACGAGACATGGTCCGGCGCTTAGATGAATGTGACATGACTCAAACTCGACAGCCTGCTAAGAGGAGATGGCTACTTTAGTCGGTCACTTCTTATACATTTCACCCTGTTAGTCAGACTTTGCTCTCAATGGCGGGGACATAACAACCTATTGGTTGCAGTCAACAACCCATTGCGCAGAAATCCAGCACAGCAGAGTCATGCTTGTCGGTTTCTTTCTGGGCTATAGTCTCACAACCCTAACATTCACTGAGCGTCAGAGACCTTTAAAGACTGAGAAGTATTAGGCCACCAAGGGTAAACAAGAGCTTATCTTTTAGCTTGGGAATACACTGTGAGACGGTTCTTGGTTAGACGAGGCTGTTATCTACAGAAGGACTGTCGTTGTGACTTTAAGGTCATGGAAAGCAGAAGCTGTAGCAGCACAATGCGTTTTTCTTGATCGATTTCCTTAGAAGCTGCACATGAAAGAAAGTACGAAGGATACTAGAAGGAAGCAGGAAGATTTATTTAGCAATACTTGGCGTACCATTTCGAAGATATCATAGCTAGTATATTTAATATGGAAATACTTAAATTCGAAGAAGGTTCTCACCAGTGAAATCTTGACCAACCATATTGTCACTTCGTATCCAAAGCAGCTCGGCCTCTGTAGAGCTTGTCGCCTATGGCCTGACCGTATCAGTCAAGGGGTCTGCCAAGTGTTGCGGACGACGTCTCGGTAATAACAACTTCTCAACGATGCAACTGCATATATTAATTTAATAATGTTTTATTAAAGTATATATATTGTATGGTTTTCTAAAACTCTAGATCTGTATTCTATCAGATTACAATAGTCAACAATTCTATAGCCAGCACTAGGAAAGTTTTCAAAGTGCAATGAATGAAAGAACACTCTGCTTTGGCCCACTGTTGTCTCCCAATTCATCAACTTAATAGACAGGCAACTACTGTACAACCTCTGCTGACTTGCACAGTTCAGCTTCTCCATATCTTTACTGCCTGTGCCGTTGCATTGAATTGCCAGAAAATGGAGATGCTAAGCTGTGATCGCAAACAGAAGCCTTTACAGGATTTCACTGCCTGCTTAACCCTAGGCCAAGAAGGAGTAAACAGAAATACCTCCGGCTCCACCGGTCTTAATATCAATCTTGACATTTGCAGTGTTCCACCAATCGACTGATTCAGAATAAGCCCTGTTGGCATCAAGAGTCTCGCCAATAAAGAGACTGCTAGGTTCGCGATAGAAGTCTGTCTTGAAAAGTTTGATATAGTTCCCGTTCTTGTCGAAGTACATATTTCCTACTTTGCTGGTGGATTGCTTGTTGGTCGAATGAATAAATTTCTCGCTCGTTACCTCTCCACCAGCCGAGTTGGTATGCCAAAGCACAAGGTCTATAACCGGCTTGCATGTGGCATATGGAGGGGTTTTGTCGTTTTGAACGCAGATTTCGGTTGCCTCGCAAACAACCCATTTGCGCCAAACCCGACCATTGCCGTCTCGGCAAGAGACCTGGAGTATGTTTGACTTGAGGCATTCAGATTGGGTGTAGGTCTGGCCTGCGGCGCAAATACTGCGGGTTGCAGGGGAAGCTCTTGCGAGTAACTTCGCCTTCGCCTTGCACCCTTCTTCGTCGGGGTGGCAGTCATGCACACTCTGACCCGGGGTTGCAAGTGAAATCTCGTCGAGATTGAAGGTAAGGGGTGTCAGTCCAGTACTATCGACTGCCTGATCCCTCGTGATGATGCCCTCTTTCGGGTTTGGGACAGCAGCTGACGAGACCATTCCAGAGAGGAGGAGCCCCATGAGCATGCTTGCGGTTGATTGAAGACGCATTTTGCCTGATTGAGCTTTGGCACTTGGTAAAGATGTTTCGTAAACTGATGTTGAAAAGGATTGAAGGTTGATGGTGATGAGGAAAGACTGATTCTCGAGGGAACTTTCGGCCTCTTTATAGCAAAATTCAGACAACAAGGCGCACAAAGGAAACTGATACTAACAGTGCCAGACTTGTGACATTCTGAGACCTTTCCCTCTTTGATCAATATCGAAAGGTATTGAATTTGCTGAACTTGCTCGTCTACCTGAGGAGGTTAACTTATGGTATATGAAAGTTAGTTTCTCGTGTTAACGGGCGCGTTTGATAGACTATGGGTGTCTTGATATCTAGTTTAGACTATAGGCAAGTCATAGGCTAGCAGGCCTTTGTGTTAGTAAACTTTGATTTCGTTGAATACGAAATTGGATAAATCGATCAATATATAAGCTCCTGCCAGACAGACATGCAGTTGGTTGCTGGTTGCTGGTTGGACAGCGGAGCAGACAAGGTTGGCAAGGTTGGCAAGGTTGGCAAGGTTGGCAAGGTATAGATAGAGACCAAGGTTAGCGCAGTCAAGTCTTGGTCTAGGTCTGTCCTTATCCTTTATCTAATCCGCGTATTCTACTAAAACTGTCAAACTAACTTTCTATCCTGACAAGAACTGACGCCAGATTATACACGCTAACTAGTAAAGGAAGGTTGACTCTATTGGGAACTTTTGTAAGCCAGATTCAACACATCATCAAAAATAGCGTAGTTAAAGAAATTGACTTCCTTGAACTTTGAAGCTATCGCGAAGGCAGCTAATATGAAGATGAAATGGGCTTATACAACGGCTAAGCAAATGCCGATCCTAGCATCCGGAGGAATCGGGCCCTTCACCACGACTTCCCATCAAAACATGAGGTAATTTTATGTGTTCATTTCTTGACTTGTTAGGTCTTCTATAGAAGGGAAGATATCAAACTTTGCATAATGATAGTACAGAACGGGCTGTTTAGGATTCAGGTAATTAGGAAAGCTGCCGCTGAGATCACGTGCGATCGATTGCTTCCATTCTCTACCTTATCTGTACGTACTTATAAACTGCTGGACGCACCAAGTGGAGCCCGGCACTTGTTGGTATCCGCGGACGCGGCTGCCGTTTTGAGGCTGTTACCGGTGACTTGGCTCATACACCAGGGAAGAGGCAGGGAAACGACTTTAGTGCAAATTACACGAAAAGCCGTTTCCCGAATCTATCAAGGTTGCGGCCGCGTAAAGTTGTGAAGTGGCGGCTGTCATGGGGCTATCAGCTGTTGTGTGGCTATTATGGGCTGTTATGAAGTGCCGAGTATCCTGACTGACACATTTGTAGGTCACCGACGCGTTTGGTGAGCAATGTAAGCTGATTGCTGGTTGTAGCCTGAGCTTTAGCTGGGTTAAAACGACACGCTTAAAGCATGTCTGCTCGGCACTGGTCTCACAAACCCATTATTGACTGACCGTCAAAGACCTTAAGAGCCTGAGAGAAATTCTACGCTACCAGGAGGAAACAGGAGCTTTTCTTCTGGTTTCGAAGCACACTATCGGATGGGTTTTGAATAGAAGCTTGCTACCTATAGAGGACAAACCACAGTTCTAACACTCTTTCGTGGAAGATTGGAGGCTACATCATCTTTCGTTCACTGTCGATTTCTTTAGTGATTTTATACTGGTAAAAGAGACAAAGACTTTGGAAATAGGTAGCAGCTTTAGGCAAAGAGAAATGCTCTTACTTTTAGTACTAGTTAAATATTGATAATTAAAATATCTCGTGTTTAAGGTACTCTTAGCTTAAATACGGCCATGCATAACCGTTGTAGCCCTTATATAAAATTTTCACAATGTTCATGGGGTATATAAAGAGTTTTGTAGATACTTGCTAGCCATAAGGTTAAACTTTAGGCTGCTAACACAGATGATAAGAACACGATAGGGGAACATAAAGAGCAACAACTTGGCGAATCGAGTTGGGGTTGTCGCAGAACGCAGCAATTAACCATTTCATTGATAATCTAAAAAGAGAATTCTTGACCAATCATCTTCTCACTTTTCCTCCAAAGCAACTCTGCCTCTGTTGAACTCGTCGCCCATGGTCTGACTGTATCGGTCATAGGGTCTGTTAAACGGCATTCAAGTAGATATGCACCGTTATGTTCTATCAAGATGAGTCTATATAAATCTGAGAATATTTGGAGTCCTACTAACCCTTGAGACCAGGATCGAAAGCAGCAAACGCGTGTGTTGCAGCACCGACCTCAGAGGAAACTGGGACAGTCGACCAATCCATCCAACCCCAGGGGTCTCCCATTGCACGATCAGCTTCGACTATATTCGTTAGCTTTATAGTCCTTGAAAGTCATCCGTCGAATACTTACCCAGACTATCCAAGTTATCTAGATGCTTAGCCAAAGAAGTATCAAGGATTGCGCCTGGATGAAGGGAGAACGCTTGGCGTCCACGACTGCCGAGTTTCTCAGCAAGAGAGATGGCAAATAACATGTTTGCTGTCTTTGACTGCCCATAGGCACTCCACTTGTTGTATCTTTCACCGTTCTATATGCGGGCTAGCAACAATTCCATAGTAAAGCGTCGTAAAAGCTTGCGCTGAAATTGGGGTCACCCCATCGAATAGGCCCCAGACGGTGACCATTACTGGAAACGCTGACCACTCGAGGCGTCTCTGAAGCAAGGATCTTGTCTATGATCAGATTCGTAAACAGGAAGTGACCCAGATGGTTCGATGCGAATTGGTTTTCGAAACCATCCTCTGTGAGCTTAAAGTCTGTCGCCATAATTCCCGCATTATTGACCAGGACGTCGATCTTGGGAACGTCTGACCATCCATTGACCTCTTCTGCAGCAGCACGAACAGAACGGAGGGAACCGAGGTCAATGATCAGAAGTTTGGTCTTGAGGTTGGGGTACTTTGCAGCAAGACTATCTGCAGTTTGCTGAAGCTTGCTCACACTACGACCGGCAAGGATAGCTAGTTCAGGATCTGCGACTGCAATAGCTTCCACAAATAGTGCACCGAGACCCCCTGGACTTGCACCTGTCGTAAGGATAGTCTTGCCCTTGATGATGGGTGCATACTCTTGTGCGAGTTGGTGAACTGTAGTTTTGGGAGCGTGCTGTACCATGATGGTGGCTAAGAGGTTTTGAATGAAAGCACTGTATAAGATCGAATGGTAGAAGATAATGGGGAGTTGATTCTGAGGAACAATTCTATCCTTTTATATTCTTCTTACAACTGCAGCTTTTGTGGATCTCATATGATCGGCAGGCAATATTTCCAGGATGGTGAATCTGGCTGGCGTCAGCCAGATCCTTAGTGGAGTCACAGCCACCTTGGGGTCCCAAGGTAAAGGATTCGAATATGATTGGTGGCTCGAGCAGTATACGATGTCATTACAAATTCTTTGAATGGGGCTACAATGATGATATATGGCAGGGAATCTTGTCTGGTTATTGTCTGAGAATGTACTGGTACCTATGGGATTTTCAGAAGAATTTCCATTTCATGTAATCTGATCTAGTTCGTGAAGTTTTCCTAAGGCTGCGGAGAACATACGATCACGGAATGCGAATCTAATTGGGAATTCGAACAGAATATCTTATCATTATAATGAATTGGTACATGTGTTGTAAGCGAAAGAGTTGCGAAGGGGTATTGTGTGATGTAAAGCGACAAATTGTTATACATGGGTTCCGACCGCAGCCTTCATCTCCCACATCGTACAAGAAGTCCAAGCGATTATAACAGCAAATTACAATAAAACAATGAATACTAAGTATCAACTCATACTCCATAGGTAAAATAACCCATGATATAAAAAGAAGAAATGGGCCAGGGTTGCGTTACAGAGTACACAATCCATTGACACAAGCACAAATTCCCAGCGATGTACACAAGTTGAGGTTTGCCACACAGTCATCTTCTGTAGAACAAGGGACTTCATCAACACAAACTTCTTGTTGACACGTCTGTCCAGTACTGCATTGCGAGTCTGTCGAGCATGTGTCGACGTTTCTTGGTGGGCTGCAGACTGCGTCCAAGCAGACGCAGAGGCCAAGGGCGCAAAGAGGGTTCAGAGATAAGAGGCAGTCAACACTGTCGGAACAAGATGAGGCGTTCCCGTTGCCAGTACTTGCAGACGATACCCTGCAAAAGCCATCTGCGGCGCATGTATCGCCTGTAACAGTACAGTCGCTGTCGTCAGTACATGGTGTTTCCGAACTACTGGTTGGGGCCGGTGTACTATCAGACGTGACAGTGACGAAGCCGCTGCTAGGGTTTGCAGTCTGCTGGCAAATCAGGTCTATGCAGGCGAAAATCCCCAAAGCATTTGCGCCAATGGCTGCCACGCAGTCCTGGTTTGTCGAGCATTCGATATCGGTTGTAGCGCCCGGAGAAGGCGGTTGAGTTGTCGAAGATCCAGCGCCTGCAGTTGAGATAGTTTCTTGACAGAGAAGATCAACGCATACAAATAATCCCAATGCCTGAGCGCCGAGAGCGGCAACACAGTCTTGGTCAGTTTCACACTCAACGTCAGTTGTAGATCCCGAAACAGACACCCCGGTGCTCGTTGCTGTAGTTGCAACACTGCCCGTTGCTGTCTGTTGGCAAAGAAGATTCACACATGCAAAGATACCAAGAGCCCCAACTCCAATGGCTGCCACACAGTCTTGATCCGTTGAGCACTCGACGTCAGTTCTTTGTCTAGATGAGGCAGGCTCAGTAGCAGAGGCACCAGCTCCAGAGGCCGTAGCTGTCTGCTGACATAAAAGATCTATGCACGCGAATATCCCTATCGCGTTGGCTCCCAACGCCGCCACGCAGTCCTGATCTGTGGCACAATCGATAGGTTCAGTGATAGTGGGAACAGCGTTGGAGCCTGTTTGCGATGCTGTCGTGTCTCCATTCGTAGGGTTGGCAGTTGGCTGAAGCTGGCAAATGAGGTCCACACAGACGTATATTCCCAAGACAGACAGTCCGAGGGCGGCTGTACAGTCTTCAGCAGTCCCGCACGATACTGATGACTGTGCTGCTGGTGCCCCAGCTGTTTCTGTTGGACCTTGGTCGGTGTCTCCAGGGTCATCGCCGCCGCCTCCACCGTTGCTTGAGCCAGGGCCGAGTTGACAGACAGCATCCACGCAGACACACAAGTTGAGCCCGCCGACCAAACATAATGCTACATCGGCCACACAGTCGTCGCTGGTAGAACATGCCGACCCTGTTTCTCTGGCCGACTCATCGGATGTTGTAGTTCCCGATGCACTGGCACCAGACCCAGGATTGTTGCCAGAAGCCGTGCTTGTGACTTGAGAGCCACCAGTTGTTGTGTCTCGAACACAGACTGCGTTGACACAAGTGCATAGATTGAGTGAGCCACTTAAGCACAACGAGACATCAGCCAAACAGTCGTCATCATCAGTACATAGTGTACCTTCGCCAGTCTCCGTCGGTGTTGATGGATCGGTGCCCTGGGTTCCAGATGCCGCGGTAGAACTGACGCCTCCTAAAGTAGAAGCGGCATCTGGGTCGGTGTCCGGGACGCATACTGCGTTCACGCAAGCGCAGATGTTGAGTCCTCCGGATATACAGAGCTCAGTGTCGACTACACAGTCACTGTCATCTGAGCAGGATGTGGGAGATTCACCAGTGGGTGACGAGCTTTGGCCTGTGGTTGTGACAGATGAAGACTGGCCACCAGTTGTCTGTCCATTGGAAGATCCAGTCGTTCCAGCCCCTTGGCTTGGGTTGGTACCCTCTGAATTGGTCGCAGAAGGCTGACTGCCACTCGCACTTGTCTGATCTCCAGGGTTGGGGCCGCCGTCAGTATTTGAAGGTTGGCCATCACCTGTGTCAGAACCAGCTGGGTTTCGGGAGCTTGACTGACTGGCAACGGTATTTGAAGTGCCTGAACCTTGAGTTGTAGAGCCAGTGGCACCTCCATCACCGCCTGTAGCCGACGGGCCCCCGTTGCTCGTTGAGATGCTGCCTGACCCTCGAGTGACTGTGTTACTACCACCATTACTATCCGTCGGCGATGGGTCGTTGTCTCCGCCACCAGTAGGATTTCCTTCGGGGCTTCCGATCTGTCTAGAAGTCGATGTCACCAATCTTCCAGACGCATCTGTTGAGTCTGGGCCGGGGTTGACAATTGGTGCCCCATCAGATAGGATAGAAGTTGGCGATGTCTGGCCTGTTGAACCTGTAGCTCCCGATCCGCCCGCTCCTGAAGGTGAAGAGCCGCCAGATACAGAAGCGCCCGATGTTGCTTCTGCGCCACCATTGGACATAGAGTCACTCGACACAGGGTCGCCATCACCGCCTGTACCACCTCCCTCTGTACTTCCAGTCTGGTTGGGCGAAGACGCTGATTGTGAGCGACTGCTTGATCCGTTGTCGCCTCCAGATCCATCGCCTCCAGGGCCACTTCCTTGGCTGCCACTTTGGCTTGGACGGGTTCCAGCTTGTGTGCTCGAGGTCTGTCTGCCATTTGATCCTGTATTAGCAGCACCAGAGGAGGAATTGTCTGCATCAGGATCGCCACCACCACCAGGAACATTGCCTTGTGGTCTAGCCGTAAGTGCTGGTTGGCGTGTTGTCTGCGATCCATTTCCACTGCCGTCTGATCCATTGCCTGATGATGAACCAGAACCTGGGCTGGATTCTGAGCCATTGCCGTCGCCATCTCCACCATTTGATCCTGAACCACTGCCTCCCTGAGATCCAGTTCCTGAACCATTGCCTGAGGGTGAATCCGATCCTGAATTTGATCCGTTGCCCGAGCCAGTTCCGCTTCCTGGGTTCGTGCCAGATCCAGAGCTTCCACCGTCATTTGAGCCACCAGCAGACCCATTGCCGGAGCCTGAGCCTGAGCCGTTCCCAGATCCGGAACCACTACCGGAGCCAGATCCTGAGCCAGTACCGGGTCCTGAGTCAGAATTACCTTGGGAGTCATCACCACCAGAGCCTTGTCCTTGTGTACTGCCAGCCTGTGACCCATCATCGGAAGAGCCGTCGCTTGGAGAGGCCCCATCAGAAGAACCTCCGCTGCCCTGGCCTTCCTCACCTGTGTTATCACCATTCCCGTCATCACCACTTGAGGAGGAAGATCCATCATCGACTCCATTATTTGAACCGCTCTCTTGGGGTCTTGCACCTCCACTTGAACCTGATCCTCCTGTGCTATCAATAGGGACACAAGCTCCATTTTGGCATGTCTCACCAGTAGCGCAAGCGACTCCATTGCAGCTAGCTAAACCGGGACTTGGTGTGCAAATGTTGCCTATACAGACTTCATCGCTGCTGCAAGTTTCGCCACCGCAAGAGGTTGGGTCACCGAGAGCCACACAGGAATCTTGTATACAAGCATAGTTGATGGGGCAATTGACACCTGATGCACCGCAGTTGACCGGGCCATCGGCCGGTACGCACTCGTTTTTAATACAGGCAAACCCTGGCTGGCATGCTGATGTCGCTTGTCTCCGAAGAAGACGCAGAAGACGGCTGGAGGATGTCCCGCAGGAAGATGGGTCCTGAACTGAAGAGCATTGGTTGTTGATACAGACCGTATTCCCAGCACAGGCTGGGCTGCAAGTTGAAGTAGGTGAGCCAGTGCCAGTATTTCCTCCGTTCTGCCCTGATGGTGCTTCATCGGCGCCATTTTGGTCAGATCCATCTTGGTCTGCTTGTCCATCCCCGTTTCCTGAGTCAGACTCCGAGCCAGGCAGAGAAGCACTTCCCGAAGATCTGCTTGTGTCGTCTTCACCTCCAGAAGCTGAGTCTCCTCCCCCTTGCCCAGCATCGCCCGAAGTTCCCTGGGGTCGAGCTGAGGTTGCGCCATTTCCATTTGATGAGCCCTCATTGCCAGAGTCGCCTCCATCGTTGGAACCATCTGGTGACTGTGAATTCCCGTCGCTGGACGCATCATTGTCCTGGTCTGATGATCCATTTCCATCAGAAGATCCTCCTTCTTGGCCGTTGGCATCACCACCATCTTCTCCCGAGCCATCTTCATTCGTTTCACTGTCGCCAGCACTGCCACTTCCTCCCGAGGAACTGCCTCCTGCGTCCGACTGTCTTTCTTCATCCTCATCTGCACCAGGAATACGTGCTCCAGGACCTCCAGACCCAGCACCACAAGCGACCCTGGGTGTGTTGGACTGGTGAATAAGGTTGCTGGTACATTGATCCGAGACACACACTTGGTTACTTCCGCAGGGTTCTGAGCTGCTTCCACATTGCGATAGGTCGGTTGAGATCCTGATAGGTACGCACTCGTTGTTCGAGCAGTAAGATCCGGTTTGGCACTTTCCATTAGATGAGCCACAATTGGTAGCAGTCCTGGAAGTAATGTTGAGTGAGCGGCATTGTCCGGAAACACAGAGTTGGCCATCGGTACAGTTCTTTGGGTTGGCCCCCAGGCCACAGTTATAAGTGTCGGTCGAGATGAAGACCTGACGACAGTATCCACCTCGGCATGATGCGCCAAGGGAGCATTCACTGCTTCTTTTGCAGGACTGGACGTTGGTACCAAGTTGAAATGGCACACATGATCCGTCAAGGCACCAGTTACCCGAACTGCAGGTTGTATTTGAAGGACCGCAAGACTTGGGGTCTGAGCCAATGTTAATCTTCTGGCATTTGTTGTTGACACAAAGAGATCCAGGTCCACACCGTTCGTTCGTACTGCCACAACGACGGGAGTTTGCTGTCACCTGGATTGGAGAACACTTTCCATCATCGCACCATTGGCCCGGCCGACATGATCCAGAGCTATTGGAACCTGATGAGGTAGTGCAGCTGTTGGTATTTGACCCAACATCAAGAGGGAAACATCCGCCAGCAACGCAGAGCTCTCCAGCTTTGCATGAGTTGCCACGCTTCCCGCATTGTGTAGGGTCGAGTCCGATCGTGACGCTTGTACAGCTTCCCCAGGTGCATACGCCAGGGAGTGGACAGCCTCCAGCATAGAGCATGCCAGTTTGCTGGTTGGGTTCACTGTCGCAGGGGAGAGTATGGGATGGGGTAGGTGAGAGAAGTAAAAGCGAAGCCATCACAGCTCGCCAGTTCATGTTGGGAGCCATGATTGATGTTTGTTATTGTTTAACTTGGTATTGATCAACCTCGATGATCATAGAATGCCAGCGAGATGATCCTCCAACTATATAGCGATTCAACGGAAGCCAGGTGCAGAGGCTACTATGAGCGACGCCTACACGCCTTCGTCACCGGTTGGCCTTCTACCGTGATACCATGTCGTCATATCAAGGGACCAGGGACTCCTAAAAAAAAAAAAGAAGGGACCCCGTGCTCCAGGTTCCAATATGCAACGACATCATGAGCGGAAGTTTAATCTGCTTAGATGCTCCCAACAGTCTTTGGCATACCTGCCACGGTCAGTGGCATCGGCGGAGAATACCAATTCAGTACTGGCTAACCTACCAGGCTTGAAGAGGGCTGCTCTGATTAAGGTACATTGCACTCTCAACTCGATCAAGTGAATTCCGGGTATAACCCCAACTCCTGTCTCCATTAGCCTGCGGATCCGCCATCTTTTGGGTCATGGGTAAACCTTGAAGCCCTCCTGTCAACGTTCACAGCAGGCTCATCAGGAACTAGCGCCCGGTTGACAACTTAAGCTCGCGATGAACTCCGGATGAGCATTGACGACATGATGATCCGGGGTGAGCACCTGAAGATCTCCAAGAACTTAGCGGCTGTTGCCGATCGTTAAGGCGCGGGAATGTCTCGGTGCCGGGATCAAGATTTAAAGTCTGCGTCTGATCAACGCCTCAATTCCCCAGACTTTGTTTGGCTGTACAGACGAGCTGCCGTTTTCGGCAGCACAAAACGGGTAGGCTAACACTCAGACCAACGCGGCTGTGGGGTTATCATTGCGGGCCGGTTTGTATGGAGGGAAGCTCATGTAGTATAATGCTCAGTGAGTTGGCAATTCGATCCTTGATTGTGTGGGATAGTGCAACTCCACGAGATTTCAGAGCGTGTTGTTCTACCTCAACCACAGATTTCCAAGGCAACCGCAGCTTCGAATGTGACAACTGAAAGACCTTGATCCAGTGCTTGGCACTCTTCAGATGTCATTCTGGAGGCGTCTGATTGGTGATCTACATTGGACCTTGTGAGTCGATCTTTGAGGCTATCTCCAGATGTCCTGTCTTGGTCACAATCAAATGAAGTGAAGATCAGCATCAGATTATGAGATGTGATAATGTCATGTTACTAAGTATGGAACGACATCAACGGCTTGCTCTTGTTATATGGTGTGTGGAGTCCGTATTCTTTTGAAATAATATGTGTTGCTATAGATCCAGATTAAAATTTGCTCTTCCGAATCAGAGGACACTAGTAGAAGAGGACATGACTCAAAATCGGATCAAGTTTGTGGCAAAGAGTCCATAGATACATTCTATGTCTTTGATTTTCATTTTCATTTTAAGTTCTCTTCCAAACAAAGTTGATGTTTGATAGGCTTTTGAGACCAAGTAAGCATTGATGTAATGTATAGCATCTGTTTGATATCTTGGGCCTCAATGTTGATTTCCATCGCTCTCTTGGCCTTCTCTTCAACCCAATGCTTGATCTGATGTCACTAAACTTTGACACTTTTTCCGGTTCTTGTTTCCGGTGGCTTCTCTTGGCGCAGCCTCATGCCAGGGGTTTTTCGCATCCATCAGCAATGGAAAGAAAGTATCGTTAGACCCATCTATCACTTTTCAGCTCCTAGATGGTTCTCTATTGGACAAGCTTAAGCTGAAATCGGCCAAAATAAGCGACTGGCAGGTGGCCGTTTGTGGGAATAAGCTTGGTAGATCCGTGCCTTGCAGGTTATGTGACAAGACACTCAACGGTGATTGTCAAGCTTTGCATGCCACCCCACACTGACATAAGAACTCTGTGTTATGACGATCAGGCACAGTAATCCGGAGAATGTTAGGATATGAATCCAGATTCTTTTTTGACAGGTCGTTTTCTCCAAGAGTCCCACGCCGTCCTAGGACTAGCTCGCAGAGCCTCAACCATCACGATAACCGCTCCCAACGTCATGTTCGAGACTCAAGGCGAAGATCGCCATTATCAGATCATATTCAGGGGGAGTCAAAGAGAGCTCAGTAATTGCTCAAGAAGCTCTCGAGAATGCAGATCCTTGTTCGTCTCGTGCCCTCTCAATGACGGATGTCCGGCTTCCAGGACCGGCGGAAGTTCCCGTTAGTGATAATCCCAATCAATCAAGTGAGCGATGTCCCATATGATAGGTAGTTGGCTACAAATGGTCAACCCTATATTGGAGCGTTGTGTTCCCCAAGTTGAATATCGTGGGATCCGTTCTCTCGGATGTTGGGTTGCCGTAATTGTATCATGTGCCCTTTATGACCGTTCATGGAGACTGGAATTTAATGACGTATGACGAGAGTGAGTAACAGCAGACCCATCAAGGAGACATGGCAGAAGTTATCTTAACTTTGGCATTATTTTCTGACCATCAATGACTTTTGTTTATCAATAGGGCTGTCACATAACGAGCAGTCATGTTCATCGTTCGTTGTGCTAAGAAATAACACACCAAAGACTTAGTAGTTCAAAAGAATTTTGTATTGTCTCTGCTCTGGTTTGAAATCACTGTGCCTGTCTTCTAAATTTTCTGTTGGCTTCCACAGACAACACTTGCCGCACCTGGCTGTGGAACTAATATGTTGATCAAGACGATATATCCAGGCCTGTGGGTATAAACATGTTCCTCCACGATCCTGTCTCCCGGGAATAAACGCTTTTCTTGCTGTTGGTGGCTCTGAATCACATTCCTTGATATTTGACAGAGTGAACCTAGCACAAAGGGTGACATCACGGCAGAAAATGTAAGACCATAATCATAAGCGGGGAAAGTATTTAGCCAATCTTAGGATAATTTAGGATAAGTTTAGGAGGACTTTTGACTAGCTAGTCTAAATATTTTTGCAATTTAGGGTCCTGAGTCTTCTGACACCCCGAGGCCATGTTGATTTGGACTTGGTGGTCAGTCCCTTTGTTATTCACACTTATCGAGATCTACCCGCGGAAAAATGGGCGGTATCAAGATCTCAAGATTTGGCCAATGTATTTAGCTCGAAGCCATTCCTTCGGCTTTGACAGTTTATTGTCGTCGTAAGCGACACGGAAGATTAGCCATGCGGCGAAAGTCATATCACCAGCTTTCCAAAGCCGATGGCCACTTGGTTGATTGTGATTCGAAGAGGAGAAGAACGAAGAGCGAGAAGAGAAGAAAAATGAAGAGCGAGAAGGATTTTGTTTGTTTATTGTTTACCTATTTGCTGCTCCTGTTGCTAGCCTGCCTCAGTGATTCACACTGGCAGTGATGCTGGAGTGACATTGACACTGATTGACACTGATTGACACTGATTGACACTGCCGAATATTATTAGAGGAGAGAATTAATGCCTGAGGTAAATAATTCTACGGAGTAAACAAATTTGAATTCTCTTGAGATTCAAAACCTCAGATCTCCTTCCTTCATCTTCCAACACCAACTTCATCATTCTGCCAGCAAACCAACAATCACCGAAAGATGTCTGAGGATCTGGAAGATCACCAGACGAGCCAGGCTACACCTGGCGAGGTGATCGTCGATCCTTCTGTTGACGCCCCTGCTACGAGATCGTGGATGATGCTTGACAACGTCTCGTCCGCACCTAAGTTCCGTGTGGTGAATACAAGCTCTCAGCCACAGGTCTCAACTGCAAATAATACATCTAGCTCACAACTTAGACATTATACCACAATGCCTAGTCTTGTCCGCATCGCCAGCCCTCATTGCCCTTCTGAACAACCAAGAATACGTTCGTTATAGCATTATCCTATAGCCTTGACTCCGCTGACAGAAGAAGCTCTCTATGCAAGTCTCTAAGTTGACTGAGATGGTGGCCGAGCTGAAGGTCGGCCCTCGAAGCAGACGATCCTCGGCGAGCAGCCGCAAGAGCGGAGACTCGGATGTCACCAATATCATCACCACCAACGAGGCCGCCGATGCCTTGGTTGACGACGCCGATTTTCTAACTATCTTCGAATCCTTCTAACTAAGTTCTGTGTGGTGATTATAAGCTCTCAGCCACAGGTCTCAACTGCAAATAACACATCTCTTCGAATCCTTCATCTCGGAGAACCATCAGCCGATCAACGTCCGACGAGGAAAGAAAACCCTCGAGTACGGGAGAAAGTTCCAAGATGCCGCAGGTGAAATGCTCAAGGAATCTTGGAATCCGGAGACTCTCGGTCAGTCATTTGCATTCCCCTTACTTTTTCTTTTTGCTGACATTCATACAGACGACACTCTTGCCCGCCTCCAGTCTCTGGAGGATCATCAAGTGATCCGTCTCTACAACGGTCTCAGCCAGAAGTTCCGAGACCAGAAGGCCCAGGGAAAGAAGGATATTGTGCAGACGCGCACCGAGAGCTTCCAGACTGATATCAAGGGCGGGCCAACCACTCCTGGTCGCCGAGGAGAAACGAGGGAGCATGAAACTTCTGACCTTAGAAGTCAAGATATCAAAAATAACTAGTCTAAAGTCCACTAAATCTATACTAAACTTGCCTAAATTTTCCTAAGTGAATACTAAATTTACCTAAGTCTTTTTGTCATTTAGGATTGAGGTCCTAAGTTTTCTTGCCTTCCCTGGACACCCTACCACTTATCGAGATCTACCCCGCGGCCTGTCCCGCGGATCGAGATCTGGCCAATTAAAAACGTCATGTTTCGATGCGGCCCCACATCACAGATTCACTGTCGGGGAAGGAGGACTCAGCCAATATGCCCATGTTAGACTTCACAGAATAGACCCAACACCACAGATCCGAAAATTTGAGCTCTTAAATCAGGAAAAAAAGAGCGATATCTTGTTCGAAAAAGGAAAAAGAAACTCCGATGGAGGGAGTCGAACCCTCCTCGCCGCGGCACTTTCATTGCAGGACAATTGAAAACGCGGAATGATAACCGATACACCACACCGGACGTTTGGATGTTAGTCAGCATTGGATTTGTGACTTATACAGTCTTCCAGCGGCTCCAACCACTCTTTGTCATGACAATTCCAAGTCTTGAACGTGAAGAATGCTATAGACAATCGCGAGGAGGAACATCGGGTCCCGTCTACGTTCAAACGTGCAACACCATTGGGGCTGTAGTCAGTCTGACGATGAAAACGCTGTGCAACAGCGAGATTGTTCAACAACTCGGTCGTCAACTTGATTGGATGTGGCATCGGGTAGGTCGCCATTTCGCGTTGTCGCTTTTCACATCAGTGAACTTCTCAATACTTCTATCCGGATATTGAAGAGAAATGCTCTATGAAGGGCTGGAGTGATGTTCAGGGAGACTTTGTAAGAATACAGAGCTTCATAGCTATGGAAGGAATCTCGAATTCAAAATGGCCCTTTACGTGGTAAGTGCCACTGCAGCTGTGTATGGACTCAAGACGCCTCAAGTGACGTCTCACAAGCCACCACCACTCGGAGAATTATCTACACATCCTGGCAAGACCTCCAAACCTGGAGCGAATTCAAGAATTACAACTCGTTAAATACAGAATTACGAAAATATTAGCAAATCCCGACACCAAGTGTGGTCAATGGGCACGTGTGCTGTGACTTCCCCGCATTCTGATCATATCAGGTTACTTGCCAGATCCGAGGGTCCCGTGGTCAACGTCAACGTCGACCAAACACAATCCTCTTGAAACAAATCAAATTAAAAACGGGAGACGTAAACGTCCAAGGAAATCAGTAATGGTTTGTTCTTTTTCATTGAGCTTCGTCTATCTTTCTCTATCATATCGCTCATCAATCTTGAATGTTGTCAGATTATTTTCAACCCCCACCTCCTCTCAGCCATTGCCATAGCGAGAACTCCCATGAACGAGCATGTCCAGCTCTCTAAACCATAAACCAACTTGGAACAATCAACGCTGACAGAAACAATTTTAGATTCCATAACCGATCCGACGCCATGATGCTGCTTAAGCGACAGGCTTGATGACAGCGGGGGGAGTGCCCACGTTGTTGCGGTTGCGGAAGAAGAGAACACCCTTACCAGCACCCTCAGCACCAGCACTGGGCTCAACCCACTGGCACATACGGGCGCTGCGGTACATGGCACGGATGAAGCCACGAGGACCATCCTGGACGTCGGCGCGGTAGTGCTTGCCCATGACAGGCTTGATGGCTTCGGTGGCCTCGTCCGCGTTGTAGAAGGGGATGTTGCTGACGTAGTGGTGAAGGACGTGAGTCTCGATGATGCCGTGGAGAAGGTGACGCCCGATGAAGCCCATCTCACGATCAATGGTAGCAGCGGCACCGCGAACGAAGTCCCACTCGTCGTTGGTGTAGTGAGGAAGGGTAGGGTCGGTGTGCTGGAGGAAGGTGATGGCAACTATCAAGGTCAGTATAAATCGTAATCGCATGATGGGAGAAGCTTACCGAGCCAGTGGTTAACCCAGAGGTAGGGAACAAAGTACCAGATGGCCATGTTGTAGAAACCGAACTTCTGGACGAGGAAGTACAGAGCAGTGGCCATCAGACCAATACCGATATCGCTCATGACGATGAGCTTAGCATCCTTGTTCTCGTACAGAGGGCTGCGGGGGTCGAAGTGGTTGACACCACCGCCGAAACCGTTTTTTTTGCCCTTGCCACGACCCTCACGCTGGCGCTCGTGGTAGTTGTGGCCGGTAACGTTGGTGAGAAGGTAGTTGGGCCAGCCGACGAGCTGCTGGAGGACGAGCATAAGCAGGGTGAAAGCGGGGGTCTCCTCAGTAAGATGGGCGAGCTCGTGGACCATCTTGCCGAGACGAGTAGCCTGCTGCTCGCGGGTTCGGGGAACAAAGACCATGTCACGCTCCATGTTGCCGGTGGCCTTGTGGTGCTTTCGGTGGGAGATTTGCCAGCTGAAGTAGGGGACAAGGAGGGAAGAGTGAAGAACCCAGCCAGTAATGTCGTTGACGAGGCGAGAATCGGAGAAAGCACCATGACCGCACTCATGGGCGATGACCCAGAGACCAGTACCGAAAAGACCCTGAAGAACGGTATAGACGGCCCACAGACCAGCGCGGGCGGGGGTGGAGGGGATGTATTCGGGAGTCACGAAGTTGTACCAGATGCTGAAAGTGGTGGTAAGGAGGACAATGTCGCGAAGAATGTAGGCGTATCCCTTGAGAGCGGAGCGCTTGAAGCAGTGCTTAGGGATGGCATTGTAGATGTCCTTGATGGTAAAGTCGGGAACCTCGAACTGGTTGCCGTAGGTGTCGAGCAAAACACCATACTCGGACTTGGGCTTGGCGATATCGACCTCTGACATGGACGAGAGCGATGTGGAAGAAGCCGAGTGCCGGGGAGAGTCTGAAGGAGAGACGGCGGCAGACTCAGAATCCGTCACAGTAGTTGAGGTGACGGTGCGTCTAAGAGCAGGGTTCTGCTTGGGCAGAGCCGAAGTCGAAACGGACGCCATGGTGAGAAAGGAGGTTCACGGCCGACAGAAGACAAAAGAGTCAAGAAGTCGAGATGCCGAAGAAGAACTGTCAAAGAAAAAGAGAAAGGGAGGTGAAAAGGAAAAAAGAATTACGAGACGGCCAAGGGGGGCTGAAAGTTTTAAAGTGTCCCTTCAACTGTAAAGGTACCTTAATACGTGGATGCTTGCTCGGCAAGCGTTTTGTTGGGGCGTGGAGCCTGAAAAAAGGCAGGTATTGATTGTACTGTACCTTAGCTGCCGCGGGCGGGACAACGGACAAGCAACCCAGACCTCGGGCCTCTCAGCGCAGCGGCAACACAAAGCAGAAAATGCGGCGAAAGCGGGCAATAGAAGGTGGAACGATAATGGAAATGAAACTGACAGGTTCATTACTTTTACTGTGCAGTCCGATACAGTTTACCGCTTTTCCCTGTCTCTGGTAAAAAGATCGACAATCCCAGAGGGAGATAAGTAACACGTCTGCCACAGAGAAAGTTTACCCTGAATTGCTTTTAATTACATCAAACTTTAATATTTTCACAGTAACGCAAATTGTTGACTGCTATGTTTATTCACATCAGAATTGTCATCTTTACAAACTTACAGAACGATACAGTTGCTACATAAAACGACCGCTTCAAGGGAAGCATCTTGACCTTGAGTCGCGACCAAAAAATCCCTACCCCAGAAAAATACGCTAGAAAACGGGTCGTGCTTCTAACCCACCCCTGAAATGTGGCAATAGCTCCCGACAAGACAGTGACGGGGTGGCCGTCTGATGTGTGTCTTATGTCTTGGTCCTACATCAGCTGAACAGCATTCACGAGCCTGTGGTGTGTCCTTTTCACCTGCAAGTTGATGAGGCTTGCAGAAGGCTTGGTATTTTTTGCGGAGGGGGCTGGCTGAACCATCACCAAGCCCGCGATTAGTATTGTCACTACTCCAATTAAGCTTCCCTAGGATGGCTATCGGATAAATTGCCGTTCCCAATAGAGCCTACTATATTCTTTTCTTCTGCCTCGAGACCTATCGTTGATTTCACTCGCCGATATCTATCCGTGAAAGATACAGTAAGCTGCCGAGACCCGGCCCCGCTCCCCAACTTCGGCCGGCGGAGCTGTGGGCTTGGATAACCGCAGTGGCATGACTCTGGACAACAAAAGCTGTCGCCTCCAAAAGGGTTTGAGATTTTGCCATCGATGGATATGCAAGATGCTAGCTACAGTGCTTAATACCTGCCTATCATTGCGGCTGCCTCTTCAGCCTCTTAGTCTAGATCTTCACACCGCCTGAAGAATGGATCTGCTTCCGCTAACGGGACATGTCCGACTGGTACACAAAGGGTGGCTTAGATCTGTGTATCTGATACACAAAACCCGTCATCCATTTGAGGGTTGGCAGTATCTTATCACACATTTGGGCCTTCATTGGCGACAGGCGGTGTTCAAATAAAGCGTGTGACCTAGACGAGCCTCACGATTCACCAGCCCTTTCAAAGTCGAATTGTTCGCCCCTCTTGAATCGGCTGCAAGCTTATGCGGGTCAAAGTGGTTCCAAGCTGGCTTAGGGCTGGAGATCATCGACATGTGAATCAATCCCTTTTAGGTGAACGGGGGGAACCGGGAGGGACGACGTCGACGTCGACCACGTTCGAAGGGGGGCACGCTTAGCGGCCCAGGCCAAGAGACAAGGCCCCCGATCGTGGCTGTCTCTGATTTTGTTGACGATGTGAATTGGATACGAGTCGATTGGTTACAAAAGGCGGGAGAAAAGCTCAGACAGCGGGCAAGGGAGATAAATCTGGTCAAGCCCGACCCCGGTTGTTTGTGGAGCTTTGATAGACGTGATAAAGAGCTCAGTTAAGATAAACCGCCTCTTGAAGGTATCGAGATTGTTGAAATCATGGCTGGCGGCCTCTTGATACGAATAACGAATTATCGCAAAGATGGCTAAAGAGTTTACGACTATCGACATGTGAAAATGTCGTGGTTTGGGGGATCAACCGAGGTGGGAGGTCAGCTCGTGCTAAGATAACCTTAGTTGTACGGAATGGCTATCCGTCCATGGGGAGCGAGGTACAGAGTACTTGTAAACCTCAATTGGAGTCAGGAAATTGTGTCTCATCAGGTTTCTGTACAGCTTCATTTGCATGTCGTAGGCCAAGATGTCATGTCTTCTGCACAAACCTGGGGAATATTGAAATGCGGCACAGCAACAAGTGCATTACCGGGAGTCGACCGGCTAACCTGATGTTCGCTTGACATTTTAAGCAATGGCCATTCAGGGGTCACTTGGATTCAAGCTTTATTCTCGCCGTGAAACTCTACTGAATTGTCCGGAGCATTTCTCTGTTTTCCTTTTGGTGGAGAAAACGGACGTTCCGATCCATTCTGGTAAGGAGCAAAAGTAGGAACCATGTCAATTGGTAGAATCTGGGAAATCTTCGAATTTTTTTTCGTCTTCCGTTCTGTTGGGAATTTTGTTGAGTTCCATGGGCGGGACCCCTGGTCTTGGCATCACAGTCCAGGGTTCAGTGGGTGGAGCAAGTGGGGGACTCCCGATACGACTTACTGACTGGATGGCTGTGGCGTAAACAGGGGGAGTAAATGGCCAGTTGATTGCTTGTTTGACGTGCTTGATGATGTTTGAAGTAACTCAAGATGAGAAGAGAAATCTTCTTTTGAAGCCAAGTAACCAGATTGACGATTGACCGATTTCCTTTTCTTAACAAGTATGAACCTTATACTGCAGTGCAATCATGATTCAAGAAGGATAGAATTTTAGGTATTTTTGCCCCTTGTCCTCAGGGTCTAACAGCCCCACGTGTCGCTCGCTTGTTTCCCGTTTTTGCGGCGGCTCTGCCAACCCCGCCTTGCTGTTTGAGACCCAAGAAACATACAGAGCAGATATCACTTTCAATGGCTGTTATGATCATTCTACAGGTTATACCTCAAGGCAAGACCTATTGGATAACGCGAGTTATGTGACTGAATTCATTTTCAAGCGAGAGAAGTAACACCAACCCTTTCCTCAAAATTTGCACAGACAGTAAAGAACACCTGCATGGCCTTTGTCAAGATGCTATCCGAGAGCCTCTTCCGCAGTCAGATCATGATGGTTCGATATCACGAATTTAGGTCGGTTCCTGTTTTCGTTTCAACCACCGGGATCATCAATTCTTCGCAATCTGCATTTGTTGAATACCTTCCTTGCTGTTCCTAGCACCTAGCTGCTGATGTACTGTACAAAGTGTCTACTCCACCATGTCCAAAGTCAGGGTCCAAAAAGTCACCCATTGGTTGCTGTTCCTTCTTCACCAAATCAGGAGACCTAGAGATGGCGGTGGCTCACGTCCGGTGGTTCTTCCAAAATCCCAATCGCTTCAAAATTCCCAAGTCAATACCTTCGGTGGGAGTCACGGGAGCGAGGCTCCAGCTCTTCGAGCCTCTCCAGGATCGTACGATTCTGGTTCCTCAAAATACTATTCTGCCGTCGTGTTGAAGCAGCCTCGAATTCGACAGTATCCTCCCTAAAACCGCGCGGCTGCCCAGGGCGATGCTGTTCACGTTCTTTGACCCATTTGTCTGGGTATCGTGAATCGTGACCCCTGGGGAAGCTACCCGCAGGCCTATTCTGCCGTTCTTGGGACTGGAGATGTGATCCTGAAGGCCTTCTGTTAAGCTGTTAGTATAACACATTTGCCTCACTCCGAGTATCTTCATACCTTGACGGCGAAAGCTGTCTTTGGGGAGGCCCTTTGGCGGGCTCTCTGCCCCTGAGAGGGGCCTCAGCTCGGGGAGGAACATTTGAAAAGCTTCCGCTATCCAAACGCGGTCGCTTTGACTGATCATTGGGCTCCAAACTCTTCCTTTTTCTTCCCAGCTCACTTTCGCTCGATTCCGGCAACGACCGTTGAGTATTTCTTGCCAAGGGTGTCGCAGCAGCACGAGGGGTGGGCTGCTGTGATATCGAAGAGGCCGAAGCCGAACTTCCGTTGGAAGGAATTGTGAGACGTTGGTTATTGTTGGATCGTGGACCTCCTCGCATAGCAGCGAGCTCTGTAGATATGTTGGACTCAGTGTTAGGTCCTCCACTTCGTTGTTGAAGGGTTTGCCTTGCACCATTGAGATGCTGTGAAATCGCATGCTCTAGAACCGGGCGAAGCTCCATGACCATCGACAGCACGGCCTCGCTTTCCATTGTCTGAGCGTGATCCCGCTTGCTTGGAGTTAATCCGTCCTGAACACTTCCAACAGCGTTATCATACTCGGTTAATGAGCTGTTGTTGAGAAGTCTTGGTCGGACAGGGCTTTCCAACTCATCTCTTCTTTTTTGTAACATGCTCGATATCGATCTGTCGATGTGTTCTGACACCATCCATGACACTCTGTTCTCAGTCATGGCCCAAACGCCGTTCTCAAAGTAGCCTCGGTGCACTTGACAAAAACGTGTAACAAAAACCTTGTTCCACGAGTCAACCAGAGTATCCAGTTCTGGTTGACACTGTGATACTGGAGGCAAATTCCCTTCTCGTAGCAGAGTTCTTCGTAGATAGCACCAGTTCTCGACGGATTCTTTCAGGTTCTTCCAATCCTTGAACTTCGAAACCAGGTCCGGCGATAGCTTCTCCTTCAAAATCTTGGCCCAAAACGGTTCTTGGTCATGTTGCGGAGCTGGGGGCATAGAAAGATACTCATCCTTAATGGATAAGCACATCTCCAATACCTTGCATTTTTGCACCATGGTAAAAGACCGTCGGGAAACATCCTGTGGTGTGGTGCTTCCGTCATTTCGGGCAGTTGCGTTGACGGCACTGGTATCAGAGCTGGCATTTTGCGTTTGCGACTGGGCATTATTCCCATTCTACACCAGGTCAGTAAAAACACATTTGAAGGACAAGGACACAAACATTGTTAGCACCGGGCTTTTCGCCTGTTCGTGGCGGATCAAAGTCCTGGCTTGAGAACATTGGGAGGGCGGCCGGGCGCCGCCATTTTCGCGTGGGTTTGGGACCTATTCTCAAACAAGAGGGTGAAAATGGATTGGGTGCGCCTGCCTTGCTAGAAGAGGCTTCTGAGCCTGCTCCTAGGGGTGTCACATTGGCCCCGGTAACCATGACTTCATTAGCCATGCTTGTGTCATTTTGAGTCTCCTGCTTGCTTGATGAGGCGTTGCTCTGGAGCATATTTTGGACGGGGGATTCGCTCAAGTAGATCATGTTACTTCTTGCAGGTTCTTTTTCTTTACTTCTCTCTCTCGAAAGTTTGCGTGGCTTCATTGTCGAGGGCAGCCAAGCTGCGTTACCAAAAGAAGTTTGCTGCGTAAGGGAGATAGGTAGGCGGCTTCAAAGATTGACGGGACGTGAGAGAGTAAAAGTTAGGAGAAGAAGAGTTGATTGTTGGGAGGTTGTGGTGAAGGTCAGATGTTTGGCAGTGCCGAATTTATTGCAGATATTGGCCCACCGGCACTGTCAAACATTTAGCACTCGCCCAGCCGCCGCAACAACTCAACCTTGGGATAATTTTAGGATGAGTTCTAGGACAAGCAAGTTGAGTCATTTCTCTTTTCGCTCAGCCTTAGTAGATAGAAGCTCAGTTCATGTTTGTAAGGAAGCATTTGTCTGTCAAATATTGCCTGCAACATCTCTTAATATCTAGTACTCTTGTAACATTACAGCTAAGCGCGACGTATATGTACCAATACCGACTTCTAAGTTTCTCAGCATCATATCCTTTCCATCACATCTCTATGAGCAAGTGGTTCGCCCCAAACACTAATAATACTAGGTTCAAAGCAACCAATCACTCCTCTTGTGCTCCTCAACCTTGCGTTGACTTCTAGAAAAGAGTTCCAAGCAGCGTAACCAACCCCTTGACAAGTTTGAAGCAAACGTGATGCAACTGTTCTGGTTACTTGTTACCTCTATCCTTGTCGTCGGCGCATCTCTCGCAGGGCTGTGTAGAGCATCGATTCCCGAGCACCAGGCGTCATAGCCTGGAACTCGGCCGTCTCTTCACGAAACCGTTCCTCTGGAACAGGATGTCTGGAGGCACTCTGCTTAAAGACAAAGGGTGTATTAGCCTGTCGTATCCCAGGATCAGGTGTCACAAAGAGGCCAGGTGACGCCCCTGTCATCTTAACAGGCCTGGAGGCAGTAGCAGCACCAGTAGGGGTGTCCCCGAGTTCAAGGGAAATTTTGATCTTGCTTCTGCTCCTGTCCCTTCTTTCGTTCTTCCTCTTGTTCGTTCGAATCACAGGGCTTGATGAGTCCGTAGGTGGTTGCGTTGTCGCAGAAGATGCTCGACCAATGCTCGAGCTGAATATATCCTCCAGAGACGGAAGCTCGGACGAACAAGCTGTGGATGCTGGACTACCTTGGCTTTCATCGAATCGTTGTCTTTTTCTACCCACAGGGGTCGGAGTGCTCACTGCAGCGAGCCTCTGCCCCATCAACTTGCTTCGGGTAGCAAGAGCAGGCTCTGCAGTATCTGATGCTTTTCTTTTTCGTGACACCAGTTCTCGTTCTTCTTCGTCCACAGAACGAAGTACAGCGGCCGCTGTTCCTTTCTGAGCTTTGGCAGTTCTAAGCACATCCCTGTATCTCTGCTCGTAGCGACGGAGTTGAGCCATCGACCGCGGGGTGACAATCGGGGTACGAGGCTCGATGGACTCTAGGACCGATCCCCTATACTGCCGATTGGGTTCGTCAGGACCTTTGTAGGTATCATCCTCGCTTTCTTCGGCATAGTCCTCCTCAAAAATATCGACGTCTTCATCTTCATCTTCATTATCTTCGGAGCCCTCTTCAAGTCTCGTCTTAACTTCGTCCTCATCATAATTCTCTTCTAGGGCTTCTTGGACTTCGTGATCATTGTCATGATAATCTTCTTCAAGATTCTCATGAGCACTTCCAGAATCATCGTTACCCTCGTCATGAGCAGCATCATTAGTCTGGTCATGTTTGATCTCAACCTCGGGGCGATCTTCTTGCTTATTGACCACACGTTCGAGCTGATCCCGCAGGCGCTCCTCTAGACCAGGTAGAAAGTCCAGCGCCATAGACATAACAGCCTCTGTATTTCGGATTGCAGTGGAGTTCTTTCCTGCAGCCTCTGTGCGATCCATGAGGTATCTCACATACGTCTGGTAAGACTCTGGAGAGCTGTTGGCCTTCAAAAGGGGCGGGCGGGTCAGGGACTCCAGTGCCTCCATCCTTTCCCGTAGCTTGTCTTCAGCCCAGCGGAGAATTCTCGACTCTGCGAACTCCAGCAATTCACCTTTGACAGTAGGCCAGATAGCACCTTCAAAGTCCAATTCTTTGGCTACTTGCTTGCTCTGAGGATTGCTCTCAGGGCTGCCCTGAGGATTGTGAGGAGCATCAGTGGGAGAACTATTCCGACTCTGCTCAGTAGCTTTTCTCCATCCTGCTGCCTCCAAGAGGTTTCGGTTTGCAGAACAAAATTTTGTAGCATACAAGTTGTTCCATTGGTCAACGAGTGCATCGAGCTCGGAATCTGGCGCCGCAGGTCCATTCTTCACAAGTTGGAATCTACGTGGTTCGCACCACTTTCCCACACACCCTTTGATGATTTGCCACTTATCTCGCTGTATTTCATGCCCGTTTAATTTTTCAAAATAAACTTTGGACCCAATAGTCTCCTAAAACTCTTGAGCCTCCTCATCGGAATGAAGATATAAGTCTTGGAGCTCCAGACAAGCCCTCAGAAGTGCCTTCTGTTCAGGCTTTTTGTAGTGACCTGGATCTATCACGATCTCTGATGTCCGTTTCTCATCGGATGCTTGGCTTTGCTTTTCGTTGGTGGTCCTTTGCCCATAGGCCCCGGAAGGGCGCATAATTACAGGACGATAACCGGCCGGTTGCAGATCACCTCGTCTAGCTTGAGGCCGACTCAGGTCATACTATGAAGAGTTTTCAGTACATTCTCAAGACAATACAGGTATATATGTCATAGCTTACCATGTTGCTGCCGTCGTTGTTGTTAGTCGTTGGTGGATGCTGGCTGTTAGGAAGGGATCCCCGCGGAGCTGAGATTGAAGATTGTGTTTCTGTTTCTGGAAGCGACTCCATGGTCTGGGAGTTATTACATGCAATCTGGCTTGCTCCTTTGGTTGGCACATTGTCGAAAACTCTTGGTGGTTCGTAAGCCATACCATAGCCGCGTCTTAAGGATGGCTCCCGGAACTGGCCCGGAGGATTCTTGGTTAATCGGTTATCATGGTGACCAGTCCCTGCGTCCTTTATATCAAAGGTAGGGTCTCGAACACGACGTTAAGTAATTTGAACGAAATGTCGCTGACGGGTGCTTCAGAACGTGGGGTATTCGACTTTTCGGCCCTGGTCTCGGAAGTCAAGGCAGGCGTAAGGTACTGGTTCATCCAAGAATGGTTTGAGTCTTGGCTCACTTGTTGAGAGTTTTGAGCAAGAGGTGCGTCAAAATCTGAAAACCGCGGAATGTCGAAGTTTATAGAATCCTCTCGAGAAGACTTCTTCTTCTTGTTGGAGGAACCCATGTTCAGAAAGGAGTGAAAGTAGCTGGGCAGGGGAATGGAAGGTGCTGAAGCATGTGCAACAAGGAAAATGTAAGCAAAATATGAGCTGAAAGAGAGTAGTGAGAGTCAAAGTTGGAATTCTCAGTTAGTGAGGGAAGAGAATTAAGAAGAGAATTAAAATATTTGTGGCGGTGGAGGGTGGAAGAGAGGTTGCGGAAATCGGAGCTCGCGGTGCGAGGCAACGGGCGGCGCTGGGCATGCAGCCGAAGAGGTGGCAGGATAGCGGGCGTGATTCAGGGCTGCTATCCTGTGGATATAAGAGATTTTAGGCGTTCTTGGGCATCTGCCCTGTGAGAAATAGCATACCATGAGCATGTTTAGGGCTTGACAACAAGCTTATACCTCCCTAAGACTTGAGGATTCTTGACGAACTAGTGTGAGTATTGAGGACCTCATTCTTATGCTTCTTTCAAGGATACACATAGTCTTCTACTATTGCTTAAGGCTCTGGAGTTCTTAGACAAAGGTTTGCACTTTGTACCCTTCTCATAATGAACCATGTATCTGAACAGGCAATGAATGACTAGACGGAACCTGGTTTTGGGATGAAAGTCAAGTTACAAGGCCAGAACGATGCGAGAACAGACAATGGCTCTATAGAAATGACTAGTTAGCCAGCTTGTCTTTGGTATGTGACCTGTGAAAGCGCCGTATCCAACGTGCTCCCCATTTAATTTCCCATCTTCAACAACTTCGATCAACTCAGCAATTAGGTGTCTGTCATGAAGAACTCTCTTTTCATCTAAGTCAAATTCTACTGCTGGCCGGTGATCATGTCGTCCTTGTCTTCCATTTATCCGTCATCAAAATTAACCCAGTCACTACTCCGTACTGATGACATCGGCCTTGGCCATGACACCAGAGACACACCCCTCCCGTATTCTCTTTTAATCCAACGCTTCGTAACAGCATCACAAACAAGACAACGCCAAACCCATAACATTTACCAAGGTACTAGTGCGCCGTCTGATTCGATAACCTGCTGTAGTCGCTGCGGCATGAAGTCAACCCACATATTGACTCTCTCGATATCGAACCCTGTCCACACCTCTCTAACCATCTTCTGCAGTGTCTCGTCCTCCCAATCCTTGGGCGCATCCAGATTCCACTGTTTGCGTTGGGGCCACAGGCTGTCGAGGGGGTTCAGGTCGGGGCTATCACCGCAGTTGTAGTAGTATCGTAGGCCGTGCTCATCTTTCCATTGCTGAACCAGATTAACTTTGCTTGCAGCGCCGTGGGCGAAAGCCTCACAGTCTTCTTCGAGGATGAAGCTCTGTGGGCCCGTGGTTGTGAGCCATGGCTTAACCGTCTTTTCGAGGATGTGATCTTTGTACTCTTGCATGGTCATGACGCCTGTACAGTTCGGGCTTGTAGAATCTTCGTAAAAGACTGCTTCACTCTTGAAGCCGTAACCAACAGCGACCCAGGCGTGAGCCTTTCGCAAGTCGCGTGGCCATTCAGCCTCGGGAGTTGTTGCGCATGTCTCGCAGAACCGTTCACCGGGTCGGGGGATGAGACGCATCTTTCCATCAAGGCCAAACCCAAAGTGCAGCTCAATACTGAATCGGATGGCTCTCCAATCCTGTGGGTGGGGATATGCTTCAAGCATGCGTCTGGCGTATTCGACTCTCTTCTCACGAGCCTTCTTGTGCACCCAGGTCCTTGGACAGCCCAGGCATCGTCTGTAACCCAAGGTTCCCATTGTTCTGTGCAGCGTCCTGGGGTTCACATCAACCTCAACACCAGCTTCCTTGGCCAATCCATGCCAGTTCAAATTAACATTGATGTAGGCGTCATTCCAGAGAATCTTCTCCATCTTCTGCTGATCCTCTTCAGAGATTTTGAGGGGTCTCCCACGCGTTTCCTCCCATTCGGGATCATTGCGCTTAGACGCGGGGACGCTCAACGCGGCATAACCTTGGGATCGCGACAGATCAAAGTGCCGAAAGATGGCTGACTTGTTGACAGGCAGGCCCTGAGACTCGAGGTACGAGATGGTGCCTCGAACCATGGCCTTCTTTGGCGTGTCGCCATGCTTATATCCGGACGGCATACTGAGGGTCGCGTTGCCCGTTACAGAGGGGTTCTTGCGGTGTAAGTGGGTGGAGAGAATGATTGGGACGGTGGTGTTTGGATGTTTTTGTCTGCTCTCTTTGTTCGCGTGGTAAGTGGTGAGGGGTCAAAAGTTGGCGGTGATCACGTGGCATGCCTTGTTTGTTTCACAACACCCAGTTCTTCTTCCATCGTCAACGATAGTGATTGATGAAGCAAATATGTGTAAATCGGTGGCTGGGAAGACTTGGAGATACGTGTCGATTGATTTCACTGAGGTCTTGCACACACACAGATGCTATTGGAACAAAGACATTCTTCTCCTGTCCTATGATGAGTATAAGCGTATCTAAGCCGCTTAAGCCTACAGTCATGATAATACTCAATCATGAATGCCGAGAAACAGATTTAAGCAAAGAGCTTCTAGGGTACTTGCAACAAATGTTTAAGAATTAATTCAAGCCTTTTTCTCCATCCCAGGGCCAGTAATCAGCTAACTTAAAGTGAAGGTCATTTTATTGCACAAGGCTGAAACATCAGGCAAAAGGTCTACCCTGTACGGACAACAAATCTGTTAAACCCGACTGCACCAAATCACCAGTCACGTACAAAGACCATTGTAATGTCATTGAGTCACACATTGTTGTAAATTTTCTATAAGAAGGGTCATGATAATCCACAGTCAACCATTACGGTTGTGTTATGGCCTCAAAGCTCATCACCAACACTTTCATGGTTCCTTTCAGTTTGCGTGTTTGCTTCCTGCAACATGACGAGACAATAGATTGACGAGCAAGATGAACAAGAACAGTATGAATGATCATCAAATATGTTTGATTCAAATCTCGTCGTCCAACCATGGACGACGGTAAATTACGAAGATAAAACCGCTCTATAGTCTTAAAAGACCTTTCATAAGCATGCCTTCTACGTCCAACCAAATACCCGCACATTCCATGTAGTAAACGCCGTGAAATGGAGCAGATATGTCCACCATCTATCCCAAATGTACAGCTTGATTCTCAAGCCCCAGGAGCCTTTCCAAACGGTGGCCCGATCAAACGCCTAAGCTTTTCCTGCCTCACGGACTGACATCATAAATTTGTCCTCGGCACCCACCTCTCCAGCGACTCTGGCTGAAGAGACCTTGGCGTTTCTTTCATCAAGAATTGTCTTCACTTCGTCGGCGGTCTTAGCGCCGAGAAGCGCCATCTCTCTGCTGAGAAGAAGTGCAACAGCAGCTCGAATCAGGAGAGCATCTCCTTCAAAGACATATACGTCCCAAAGACGGGCTGCTTCATCTATCGCCAAGTGCTGTGTGAAAATGGCTGTCAATATTCCTGAAAAAGCTCGCTCCAAGTCGGCAGTTGGGATCTTCTTGGTGAGGTGCGCATGAAGAGGGGCAGACTTGAGAGAAAGTGTCTGCATGATAAGATTGAATGCGGATGCTTGTGCACCCGGATCTCCAGTGTAAAAGGATAGAGGCAATGGGCGATTGAGGACGTTAGCGAGTGCGACGAATGCAGACGCGGCATCGGGCAAGTTGAGGAGCAGTAAGGCAGCGATTGTCTGACGGACTTGGTTAGCAACTCAGGTGGCACAAGGTGGCTGTTGTACTTACGTTGCAACCACGGACATAGCCAATGTCGCTCCTGTACATGGCGTATGCACTCAACACATCAACAAGGCTTTGGTGCAGTGGTCCTTCAACCTCAAAAATCCGGAGATCCTCCCATGTCTTCTGTGCAGCGTCTCTTCGGATATCCTGGAACCATCTTGCCCTCCTGGCATCCTCCGCGTCGCCCTTATCGTCTTTGACCCTGGCTTCAATCTCTTGAGCTCTTGCAAGTGCTGCTTTGAATGACGTTCCTGACAGTCCAAGTTCATTACCGATTGCTCGACCCCAGATTAGACCGCGGCTTCGGGGTGCGATTCCCTTCCACCACAGTTCTCTTGTCCTACGCTCGCGAATGGCATCGCCCCAACGTGGGATCACATCCCTCTCCCAAATTTGCATCAGATTGTCAGCTGTGCTGTCTCGTCCCTCGATCTTGGCCTTGCGTGAGGCTTCGCGTCGCTCCTCAGCCTTGGCACTAGCTGCCATCATCTTTTGATACTCCTTCAGATGTCGGCGCTCCTCGGCAGGATCTTTGGGTGGTAGCCATGAGGGTCGTGTCCGGCTAAGAACAGCCTCTTTCTCTTTCGAAACGGGAAGAGGGTCGATCATAATATTCGTCTTGCGTAGAGGTGGCAGCTCGGGGGTTGATTTGACACGCTGCTTCTTGTCAAACGTGTCGACAGATCGTCGAGTAGCATTCCACGTGTTGGGACGCTGATTCGCGGGGCGCTTGGCCTGCTGTTCCTCCATCTCGTTGGCGTGCTCCTCGAGCTTCTCCGTCAAAGTCTTGGCCTCAGCGTTCAATTCCGCCAACGCAGCGTTCCAGCTGTGTGCCCGTTGCTTGGCCGGGCTGCGAGGGTTGTCATCGGTCTTCCAAGTTGGGGATCGAAGAGAGCCTTGAGCTTGCGCGACCGCGGGTGTTCCATTACCGACGCTTCTAACTCGCTCTTTGGATCGATTGGGGGACGGAGACACGGAGGATGGTCGACTAGGCGTGCGCTCTTGCATAGGCCGGGGGGAGAGCGGCACATTGTCCAGAAACATGCCATCGGGGATATCATCGCCATCGTCTTCATCACATTCTCGCTCGAGGTCGGTAAAAGACTTGCGATCGCGGCCGGCCTGCCAGCTGCCTCGGCGAGGCTTTTGAGGGAAATTCGGGTCTCTCGGATCCCTCGGGTTGAGCGAATAGGCAGGACTTGGGCTTCGTCGTCGAGGAAATGGGAGAGAGGCTGAGGATGGGCTTGTCAACGTCTTTGGTCGCGTAGCAGAAAGAGGCTCGGTCAACGCGCTCAAATTGGTGCTTCTGGGGTTGGAGGTGTATACGTTGGTCTCGAGAGTTGGGAATGGCGGTCGGGCTTTGGATGCAGTTTTGCCTGCTGCGAGGGTTCGGCTCGAGGGGGCTTTGGCTAGACTGGGACGGACATCGACCTTCGATGGGCTCTTCAAGGTCACGGTGTCGTCGTCGAGACCAATTTCTTCAAAATGGCCAACGTCGGCCAAGACGCTGCCATCGTCACTGTCGAAAGATTGGAAAGAGGAAGTCTTGGAACTCTTTGAAGTCGTCATCCCTGGCGGAGAGTCGGGGCTGGGGAGAACACTGCCGATATCAAGAGTACGAATCATTGTCGCATCTCCAGGGGAACGACAAATGGCTGGACGAGAGGACTCTGTCGACTCGCCCGGAGGATCTCAAGCAAGTAGACCTCTTCTGATTTGGGTCTTTTGTTCGTCAATTAAGATTGAATTGGTTCGAGATCGTGGCTTGCGACGTGGTTGTTGTCTGGCTAAGGCGGTCGCTTCTGTTTTGTTCGGCGGCACTGTGCTAGGATGCTTTGCTTTGTCGGTTTTGGCGGTAACCGTTGTTATGGGCACTGAATCTCGGGGTCGGAGGGAGCCGTTTCAAAATTGCCGGGGTTTGCGAGAACCAAATAATAGGGCCAAAAGGAAGTCGTACTAAGCAAGGTCTGGTATGGAAAAGGGATACGGAATAGCGAGGGAACGAAGTGAAAGGAGGCCGAAACTGAAAGTTGTTTTGTTGTGCCGGTAAGAGCGATATAATGGTATCAATCGATCAACGAGAGACTAGGGTTGAATAGCTTAAAGAGGATGGATAAGAGGCACTCCCACTCATAGGGAAACGACCGAAGGAGGGAACAAGATTTTGCAACCCCGGACAGTGGTAAGTGGTCGCGGCCGGGATGACGAGATATTACCCAGAATTAAGCGCGGAGTTGAGAAGAAGTGGCCTCCAAAACAAAGGGGGTAATTAGTCTAAAGTTGAAGTGTTTGAGACAAGAAGACGATTGAAGAATAAAGATGATGCAGTGCCGAGAGTAGAGACAAGAAGGAAAGGGAAAAGGATGGGAGATGACAAGGAGACGACGGAAAACGAGTGAGATTCAAGCAACAAGGCAAGGAAGTCCAAGGTCAAGGTCAAGAACAAGCACAAGCAAGTCAAGTTAAACCGGGAAGTGGATGACGATCCCCAAACGAGAAACGAAGACAACGCCAACGCAGCCAAGGAGATGATCCCACCCACACTTTTGATGGGAAAACGATGGAATGCTTGTACCCCTTCATACTAAAATAGCATGCTCGTGACCTTTGCCTTATTTTTCAAGTGTGGGTTGTCATGGGTGTGGACATGGCCTTATCGGATCAAGCCACTCCAGGGGATTGCACCGTGAATTTCTTTTGGAGACTGTGTAAGACCGCTAATTGACCCAGGACTCGAACGAAATGCAGACATACAATCAATTTCTGTATTATTATAAGTTCATGCAATAAAGCTCAAGCTCCCATTTCTTTGGAACTCCAAGTATTATGATGATAATTGAAACGTGTGAGAGCCTGCCAATGAGCTACCCTGAGGTCAACAATGGTCACTGTTCAACCCCATGAAAACGATCAACAATTCATGACATATCCTCTTTTCTTACACCATCGACCATCTCGATATTCTTCAAGCTGCGTCTACAGTGCTAAGTGGAAGCGACCCCCTGTCAATTAATCTCGGTCGCATATGCGCGGCTAATGAACAAGCACAGCCAATCATGTCTCACAACTCCAAGATTTTCAGCTTGCCTGTCAACATGGAACCTCAAACATTGAAAAAACAAGCAATTTCGCGATTTATTTATAATAACCCCTCGAAGCCCCTCTGCTGGGGTTTGCGGGTGATGACTCCAAACTTCTTATCAACTCTCATATTGAGGGACCTTGGCAATCAACTGTGTTGAGGCTTGCTTACCCCTGCCCCTTGTCCTGCGTTATCTCCAAAAATGTGACTTCATCCGTACGTGCGCATTATTACATTTTGACCATACATCGATCCATATCCCCAAATGCCCGATCTCACACATGGCATTCGACTTCCTTACTTGCTTCGACGTCCACAGCTCGTTCCGCCTCCATATGTCTTTTGCCGCTTCTCAGTATCCGCCCGCATTTTGGCGATCAGATCGGCTCCGTTGACACCGGAATCGGAATCATCGGATTCAGTGTCAACGTCTGTATCCCCTGGAATGAGAAATGCATCCACATCTTTGGGTTGCGTCTTCTTGTTCTCTCGGCGCCTCGCTCTCTTTTGCGCTAGAGTGGCTTTGCTTCTGTTCCGCCGTCTGATTTCATGGTTCTGCATGGCTTCCTCAACAAACGTGTCGAGTGCCTTCTTCTTTGCTGTAAAAAGCGGAATAGGTGAGCCTGCAAGTCTTGAAAACTTCATTGTAAGGTTGTACCAAAAGTTGCTGTATTGCTTGCTGGTCTTGATTCCCCTATGTTCTAGTTCCGCGGCTATGGCATGTGACTCGCGTTCGCTCAGGGATGTCGGCATGCTCCAGTCAATATCCCAGTTGTACTTCTGGCAGGACTCGTTGCTTGTGTCGTGACTGAAGCCCTGTCCAGCGGCGATTTTCTGCTTAAAAAGAGCAACTGTGGGCTTGATAGCGTGTTCTGAAACGCCGTCTCGGATGATCGGGGGTTTGACTTCTTTCTCAGAAGGCTTGATCCAGTTCTTATTGGTTCCTGGCTCCAACTGTTGCTCCTGAAGCTTCTTCTTAAGTTCATCGTCAGACTCTTCTATGTCTGTCGTGTCTTGTTCAACCTTGACTCGGTTCTGATTGATGCGCGGAGATATCTTTGCGACAACTTTCGTGGGTGTTCCTTGTCTTGAGGCTGCGTTGCTCGCAGCAGTATCGTCGGGGATAGATGGCAAAGATGTGAATTCTTTTTCTGGGATTGATGTCAGTACATACACCTTGACATAAGACATGTGACCTACTTTGTTGAAGCCATCGGCCTCCTTTTGGAAGTGGCGGCGTCCAGTTCTTGGGCAGGAGCCTCGGCAATGTCATCGGCTTGGTCATGACAACTCGGTGAGGAGGTGTTGAGTAAAGCTTCTTCTTGTAAGAGCTTAGCTTGGTGGCAGTCCCATTCTATGAGACTCTGCGTTCAGTAGGCCGGACAGCCTTGGCTTGCTCTTTGCTCTGCTGTATTCGTTCTGTAGGTGATGAAACGACGTGCTCGTCTCCAGAGAGGGGAGAGATATCGGGGAAGGGAGAGTACATAGTCTCGTTATCACTCTCGCGACCTCGCCCGCCCGAGCCCCTTAGGATACTTTTCAAGCCGATGAGCGAATCTCGATGATGTGGTCGGAATGATGTAGGTGTACCTGGAGTATGGCTCTGCACAAGTTTCTCGCCACTGTAAACTGGCTGAAGCTCATAGATTGACGGTGAAAGAGGCTTCTCAGATTTGGTCGGAGTGGCGAGATGATTCTTCAAACTTCCAACCACATTGCTCAAATCCCTGTCGACCGAATCAAGTGTGGCCTTCTCTTCAAGTGTCTCAGAGACAGGTTTCGGGGAGACGTTTTCCTGTGGCAGCTGATATGATACAGGTGGTGAGGATCTTAGATCCTCGTTCTCTTCGTCCTTGTTAACATTGGCGTCATGAGACATCTCATCGTCACTTAGGTCAGGAAGTCCTTGGTATTCCTCCTCGCTGTCTTCGCCGCAACGAGACTCATATTGCTGCAAAGCAAAGATGTTCGCAGGGCTTGAGTAACTCTCCAGTTTGATGTTCTTGATGTCCTCTTCGTCGGAGTGTTCTTCATCGTCTGAGGATTGGGCATACATTGAGCTGCCCTCTTGCTTGATAGGGGGCAGGTCTCCATCGTGAGACTCTTCGTCACTGCTACCTTCGTCATCGTCAGAGTTGTATAGCCCAATGCGCTCTTTCTTAATGGATTTCATGTCACTGTCGTGAATTTCCATCTTGATTTTCTTCGCAGCGGAATCGTCATGCTGATATTCAGGCGCGGTGGAGAAGGGCACATCGTGGTCGAGAGACGGGCTGCTGCTGCTGCTGCTGGAGGTCGAGGGAGATTTCTTCGTCTCGGGGCACTTAGTCCAATTCCACAAAGTAGTCATGATATCATCCGGGGACGGCTCCCTCTGTTCATGGACAGGGAGATTCTCCTCGGGAGCGGCAATGGGGTTGTTGGTGTTGCTACTGGTAGTATGCTCGGTAGTAGTGGCTTGGGGGTTCTGGACGTCGAGAATGTGTTCGACTGGTGTTGGCAGAGCTGGCTTGGCCGGAATGGTAGTCTCTTCATCTGAGAAATCAGAACTATCGGAGGACTCCTGGGTAAGATCGATCTGCAAAGCTGTGCTTGGGGTGGGGTCGCGTGCAACAGCTGAAGTAGCAGGCGTGGGCCGCTTTGCCGCAGCGGGAGACTGGGCCTTGCGTGGAGTTACAATCTTTCGTCGCTCGGTCGAGTTCTCGTCCTTGGTATCTTTGTCGGCTGTAGCACGATGTTTGGCAGCCTGCCGTCGCATCGGGGACACTAGAACCTTGACAACCTTACAGTCTGAGTCGGGTTGGTCTTCTTCCTCGTCTGCATCGATCGACACAGGGGTGTCGATTGAGTCGCCAACTCGTCGCCGCTTGACGTTTGCCTTCTGTTGCTCGAGTTGATGGCGCTTTTTCGGAGAAAGCTGAACCTTCTCAATGTCACAATCTGACTCATTCTCATTTCGGGCCGCATCCTCATCCTGGCTGGATTTGGGAGGGCTATGGGTTGGAGGGATAGAAATGCTTCGGCTTCGGCCTGCAACGCTCGAGGTCAGGTTGGGCAACGGTGCGTGAGGCGGTACAGAGGCTGCTTGTCGCCGGCCAGCAGCTGGTTTCTTGTTCTGTCTTGATGATGTTGCGCTTTTTGCGAGAACAGATGCTTTGAGAGAGGCATACCCTCGCTTGACAGACCCCTGTTGATCAGTCTTGCGCTTCTTGGAAGGGCGAGCTCGTGGGCTGGCAGCGACAAGCTTGCGCTTGGGCGACGGCTGGACTTTTTTGATCACACAATCTGAATCTGAATCCTCCCCAGACGAAATATCAAAAGGTGTATGCGGTGTGTTTGCTTGGACGAGTTGAGTTGTTCTCTTCGGAGTCTGTTGGCCTTGACTACTTATCGCGGCTCGTTTTCTAAGGGGGGTTTCAGGGACACGTTCATTGCGTCCCTCTGAGCGACGCTTCTTCGTAATTTGGGGGGATGACATGTTCTTGGAGATTGGGGTCGAGGGAATAGATGGATGTGAAGATGCTGCACGGGGCAGTAAGGTTGATGCCTGCGATCTCTGCCGCTTGGGCTTCTGGGTTGACTTGGGCATGGTTTGTTGAGACTCTTTCCGACTTTCAGTGGACGAATTCGGCTGGATGCCACTTTTCGCGGCTTCGGTTGATGATGGTTTGTGACGATTCTTGGTGCGCCGTTTGGGTTGTTGAGAGGAGGGTGATGACAAGAAGTCGACAATCTTGGATTGCTCCATTGGTTTGGCGATATCACTCGTAGGGCGAAGAAACCGGCGACGAGAAACACCCTGCCGAAGCAATAAATGTTGACGAATGAACAAGTTGCGTTATTGAGATTAACGAGTTATGAAAGGGGTTTTCAGAGGAAAATAATAACAGCAGCAGATAGCTTTATGACCTTTGTGGTGATGCTGATGATGCTAAAGTTGAAGTCTTTTACAAGGGCGTGACGATGCTGGTGCAGAGAGTGAATGCAAGAAATTGAGCACAAAGAGGGGGAGAAGAAAGAACAGGAGAATGCAAAGAAAATGGTCATTCATTAAACGCAACAATAGACGTGAGCAACAAATAATGCGCGCCAGGGTTCGCCAGTGTCAACTTCACGTAACAATGGCAAGGCAGTGTCAAAAAGGAGTCGCAAGCTGCTGGCACTGGCATGACACTGCTCACTTAAAGTCAAGTAGTTCTAGGAACCCATTTGTTCGTCATAAGGCAAGGCTCATTCACGATGGTCCTTTTTTCCATTTTCCCAGCATCTATGGTATCATTACAGATCATCATGGTCTATGCACATTGACTCGTCCTCACCGGCTACCTAAACCAGCCTTACATACGCTCTCGTCGACGAGGAGCTGCCCGGATGATATCGTCCACACGAAGAAGAAGCTGGTTGATAATGTTAAAAATCTATTTTTAAAAGACTTTGGATAAGAACTTACCTCTGCGGCTTCGCTGGCCGAAGACACCACAGCCTTCTTCAATTTGTAGCTCTCGATAACGCCGAGATCTCGCATATCAGTAATACCACCACCAGGGGTCATCAGGTCCAGACCGTAAGTTGTAAGACCATCGTAGAGAGCCTTGCGCAATCTGGCAACAAGGTCACCAGAGTCAAGACCAGCGTTGTCAGCTAGGATAGTGGGTAGTTGTCGAAGAGCGACGGCAAAGCTAGAGACAGCCAGTTGTCGCTTGCCCTCAACTCGGGTAGCAGCGCCCTCAACCGCCTTGGCCATGAGCATCTCGGCACAACCACCGCCAAGAGTGGTTCGGGGTTCCTTGACAGTCTGTGACAAAACAGCAAGGGCATCGTGCAGACTTCGCTCGGCCTCATCAAGGAGTTGTTCTGTGGCACCTCGAAGGACAATTGTGCAAGCTTCTCCACCGGCCACGCCAGAGAACTTGATGAGAGTATCTTCGCCAATAATCACCTCCTCAATAACGTCGCAGTGGCCAAGCTTGACTTGATCGGGATGGTCAAAGGTCGAGGCAATCTCACCGCCTGTGACCAGGGCGAGACGCTCAATACCGTCGAAGTCAGCATGCTCAATTGACATGATGCCGGCATCAGTAAACAGCTGCTCGGGCCAGTTATAAATGAGCTGTCGGTTGATGAAGCAGTTGATGCCGTGTGCCTTAATCTTCTCAACCTTGGCCTTCATCTTGTCCTTCTCGGCCTTCTCAAGTTCAGCAAGCTTGCTTGTTGAACCAACCTTGACACGGGCACCAAAGATCTTGACCTTGTCGGTGTCCATGGAGGTGTTTGCCACCAGAATCTTAGCCTTCTCTAGTCGCTTGGGCTGGTTGACACCAATCTTCTTGTCGAGAATGAAACCTTCGTCAAGGTAGGAGTCGCTGAGTTTGCCTCCAGCCTTCTTGATGATTTGAATGTGGTTGAGGTCGGATGACTTGAGTCGGAGAACGGCATCAACAGCCAATTCGGCGAACTGGTCGCGGTCCTGGGCTAAGACCTTGGAGCTAAGTGTTGTTCGAGCAATAGCGAGCAGATCTTGTCGGAAGGCCTCGGGGTTTTTGCTGTGGTCAACGGCTGATCCTTCCAACGCCTTCAACGCAGCCTGGCTGGCTATCCGGTAACCCTCAATGATAGTCTGGGGATGAATCTTCTTGTCGACCAGCTTCTCCGCCTCTCTCAATAGCTCGGCAGCGAGAACAGCAACGGAGGTGGTACCGTCACCGACTTCGTCATCTTGAACCTTCGAAATATTGACCAGAACCTTTGCGGCGGCGTTATCGAGGGCGATCGACTTGAGGATTGTGGCACCATCGTTGGTAACCATGATTTCGGCGGTGGAGCTAGCATCATGTTAAAAGGGGGGTTGTCGAGACCGCAAGTTGGGCGCAACATACGCTGACTGGAGAATCTTGTCCATGCCCTTGGGACCAAGAGTGCTCTTTACGAGGTCACCGACGGCGATGGCACCGACAAAGGCGGAGAGACGAGCATTCTCACCCTTTTCCTCAGTAGTGCCCTCCTCAAAAATTTGGGTTGGTTGGAAAGACTAGGAGGGGCACGTTAGCATACTGTATACTCAATATAAGAAGATGAGGTGTTTCAACAAACAAGCCTCACCAAAAGAGAGAACATACCATGATGGGCTAACAATACGACTATGCACACGGCGAAACCTATAAGAACGTGAAAGGTTATCGTCGTCGTCAACGTCAATATGCTTCAGCCTTGGGGTAGACGTTGCAGCCTTTTTTTCTGGAGCTCCCATCCAGCTTAGCAAACCGCAGCCCCTCCACTCCAGGGGCCAGCACGCCCACACGTGACTTGCCCCGCGGTGGGAGCCTCACGCTTCGGGCCAGTATTATCATTTCTCCGCATCACGCACACTTTCGTTGGAAAGTGAAGCAGAACACCAAATTTGTGCTGCACTAGGTTGGCCACCGCAACATCAAGACTCCGCACGTTCCCGAGCGACTTTCTGCGCCGTTCTAGACAAACTTTTGCGTGTCTTCCAGAGGTCATATCTCCCGCGCGCAAAAAGGCCATTTTCGCAAACCTGTGCTCGGTAGCCGAACCCTCCAAAACCCTCGAAAAAAACCATACAGAAACGAGTGAGAGCGGGGCATTTTTTCTTGCACCCCTCCAACAACCAAATATCGCCCATCATGGCGCCCTCTTTCGACCACCTCCGCGAGGCCGACCTTGACGATGACGAGTTCAACGAGGATGATATTGATATCTCCGATTTGCGAGAACGATTCGAGGTTTCACTGGAACAAGGCTATGACAGCTTCGTGGTTATCGATGGCCTGCCTCAGGTCACAGAGGATCAGAAGCCTAAGCTTGTCAAGTTCTTGTTGAAGAAGCTCAACACAGTCGGCAAGACACGCGAGGACTTGATACACATGCCCATGGGTGACGATGGAAAGTCTTTTCGGTAGGTGCCATACTTGGAACTAAAGGTGCATCGAACTTGAAGCTGATCTCGTTTTAAGATTCGCTTTTGTTGAATACTCTTCGCCCGCCGAGGCTGCTGCCGCTACTCGCGAGCTCGACCTTACCCCTCTCGACAAGAAGCACACCCTCCGCGTCAACAAGTTCACCGACATCGAGCGATACGGACGAGAAGGTCGTATTGACGAGACCTACCAACCCCCTCACATCGACGAGTTCACCGAGAAGGAGCATCTACGATGGTTCCTCAAGGATCCCTCAGGCCGCGGCCGCGACCAGTTCGTTATGTACAAGGGCGAGAGTGTCGGTGTTTACTGGAACAACGAGAAGGATCAACCTGAGAACATCGTTGAGCGACAGCACTGGACTGAGACCTTTGTTCAGTGGTCTCCTCTAGGCACATACCTCACCTCTGTTCATGCCCAGGGTGTTCAGCTCTGGGGCGGCCCTTCATGGACACGACAGGCCCGATTCGCTCACCCCTTCGTGAACCTGGTTGCTTTCTCTCCCGGTGAGAAGTATATCGTCACCTGGTCTAACCGCCCTATCTCCATCCCCGATGAAGGCCACCCCGCCCTTTCGATCGACGACCATGGCAAGAACTATGTGATTTGGGACATTGCTACCGCTACACCTCTGCGATCTTTCGCCAACCTCGAACCCCCTAAGGTGGAGGATGGCAAGCCCCCGCCTAAGATGCAGTGGCCCGCCTTCAAGTGGTCTGCTGACGACAAGTACGTTGCCCGTCTCAACCCCGGCCAGTCCATCTCCGTGTACGAGCTTCCCCGCATGAACCTTCTCGACAAGACCTCCATCAAGATTGAAGGCGTTGTGGACTTTGACTGGGCTCCTGCAACCCCCAAGCGCGATGGTGTCAAGGACTACGAGCAGCTGTTCTGCTACTGGACACCTGAAATCGGTAGCAACCCCGCCAAGGTCGGCTTGATGAGCATTCCCTCAAAACAGGTCGTTCGATCCCTGAACCTCTTCAGCGTTAGCGACGCTAAGCTTCACTGGCAATCCGAGGCTGCCTACATCTGCGTCAAGGTCGACCGACACTCCAAGTCGAAGAAGTCTCAAGCAACCACACTTGAGATTTTCCGTGTCAAGGAGAAGGGTGTCCCTGTTGAGGTCGTTGATACTATTAAGGATACCGTTATCAACTTTGCCTGGGAGCCCAAGGGCGACAGGTTTGCCATCATCTCCACAACCGAGCCCGTGGGCGTTACTGCTGTCCCCCCTAAGACTGCAGTCTCTTTCTTCTGCCCTGAGAAGGCCAAAAAGGGCCAACAAGTGGGTAACTTCAAGCACCTCCGGACGCTTGACAAGAAGAACAGCAACGCCATCTACTGGTCACCTCGCGGTCGTTTTGTTGTTATTGCCACCATTGCCAACCAGCAGAGCTCTGATCTTGACTTCTTCGACCTTGATTTCGAGGGCGAGAAGCCCGAGTCCGACAAGGACCTTACCGCCAACCTCCAGGCTATGAACACCGCCGACCACTACGGTGTTACAGATGTTGAGTGGGACCCTTCAGGCCGATTCGTCGCCTCATGGGCTTCTGCTTGGAAGCACTCGGTATGCTCCGTCTATCAAACTTACTATGATTCTTATACTGACCTGATTTAGATGGAAAATGGTTACCACATCTACGATTTCAAGGGCGAGGCTCTACGAGAAGAGCCGCTTGAGAAGTTCAAGCAGTTCTCATGGCGCCCTCGACCCCCGACTCTGCTCACCAAGGAGGAGCAGAAGGCTGTCCGCAAGAACCTTCGAGAATACAGCCGCGTCTTTGAACAAGAAGATGCTGACCGTGGCGCGTCTGCTGATTTGGCTGTGGTTGAGGCCCGCCGACATATGCTTGAGGAGTGGTACTCTTGGCGCGAGTCCGTCGAGGCCGAGGTGCTGGAAGAGCGCGAGGCTCTCGGCCTACCAAAGGATCCCCATGCTCCTCTGCTAGAGGCCTACACAAAGTCTCTTGAGGGCTTAACATCAGAGGCGGATCGGGTGATTGAGGAGATTGTGGAGGAGGTTCTTGAGGAGAGTGAGGAGATCCTCGCATAGACGTCTTCACTGCATTTGCATGGGAGTGATTTGCTTGTATCTCGGTAGAAAAACTGGTCAGGGCGAGGGGTCACGTAATGAAATTCTTTGTCATGTTCACACGAAAGATAGGTCCAGTTTCTTGGACTTTCTAAAAGCATTTTTCGGAGTATTCTCTGTTCATACATATCAATTGCTCGTCACTGTTTGCTGAGTGAAACGTAGGTGTCTTGGTGACGAATTTGTTGTCCGGTACATTCTTTCTATCACTTGTCCATCTGCGATACATAATACAATATCTTCTGACCCAACTCATGAGCTGAAAGTCTTGGCCTCCCAGAAAAGACAATGTTGTCAACACGCGCTCTCTGCAACAAAGTGTTGTTTGCTCCGGTATCTACCAAAGGCAACTCATTTTCCATATTCGAACAATCGCCAAGAGAATAGGAGCAGGCGTATCAACAATGTCATACATTCTAAGAATCTCTTGGTGTTTCTATTAGTCCTTGATATTCGCTTTCGTACATATCTGCGTCTCCCTGATGTTCAGCCTCTCTCCTTGGCGATGTCCTCAATGTGCTCGATGCCAAGATATTACAAAAGCAATTCTGCCGTCCGAAAGCCCTACCACGGACCGTCATATCCGTCGCATCTTGGCGAAAACTTCTTAACGGCATACAGGTCTCGGGTGTTGGTCGCACAGCCTGTCTTACTTGAATGGGTCTGCAACCGCTATGGGCCATCCATTTCTGCCACTTCATATTAAATGTCCTCGGAATAATACATAAAGCTCAATTATTGACATTTCCACGTGTGAGCTGATAGCAGCTCATAAGAAAGGGGTAGACCTCGATATGATGTGGGATATTTCATCTGTCAAACGGTCTGCTTGCGACTGCGCTGAACACTTCAGAATCCAACTCTCCTTGTTTACCAATACCCGTTATATCAGACGGCTTGTACGATATCGTGTCTTCGAATAATAACTGGTTCCTTATTCGAGCAAATACGACTTTATCTGTGTTATCATTAACTCAAACTCCTGTCCAAACTTTTGCTGTGTTCTCCTTGCATGATGCGAAGCGCCCTCTTTATTCTCGGTGGCATTACTGCCATAGCCACAACATCTGCTCCTCCAGTAGCTTCCTCAACAACTTCCTTAATCGCTTCGCCTGTCGCCACATCGATACCTGTTCCAGTTGCGCCTCCAGTTTTCGCAGCTGTTGCAACTCCAGAGGACATAAACACGGTCATTCGGGAGGTCAGCAGTTTAGCCTCCGACATATTTTTCACTGCCAGTAATATTGGAGGCCGTGGTGTAGAAGTTCAAATCATCGGGGTATTACACGTCTTGCCTTCTTACTTGGCCTGTACTGACCTTCTGGAAGAATACATACCTCCGATGTCGAGATATGATTGAAGGAGTCCAGCAGGCGTTCGACAAAATCGGCGGTCGGCCCGAGGCCCCTTTCTCGTACGAAGATCAAAAGGGTATTTGTTCCATGTTCGACTTGGTACGTAACATATCTGCGATGCTTGTTGCAAGACACGATAGATGGTTTTGAGCAACCCTTGATCAACTCCAACTAACATTCCTCTCCAGTTCGGCATGGACCAATCAAAGCTCATTACCATGTTAGTGAGAGATCTAGAGAGTATAGCGAGGGACGGCTTTATCGACCACTTTGGAGATTGCTTCAATAGACTTCAACCTGCACTGGCCATGTTTATCGAAGAACTTACATCTTATGCGCCTGATTGTGAGTTCGAAATGCTGAGGAGAAAGGACCAGCTTGAGGTTGGGCTGAGTAGTGCATTGGGAAGGGTGCTAGACTATCGGGAGGGACATGCCCCAGACCGCATTCCTTTGTCATTAGACTGAGGTCATCATCTTGACTTTTTTTTTTACAATTATGAATTAAGGCTTTGAGCTTGATGGCAGCTGGCCTTCCCTCCGATTTGACGACCATCTCCCTCAGCAATGGACCAAACCCCAGTGTCGTTTGTGGCTCAAGCAGGGTTGACGTTCACAATGCATGGATTACGACCAGTCACACACTTTAGTAAGGGAGTGAGCCCTATCTGGGAGCACACAGATGGACAAATAATATAGGGAGACTATACTATAACGAAATATATGATATATCGGAGATGGGGTATGACATCGGAGACTTTGAGGTATAGCACACGTAGAGCGGTCAAAAATTACAAAATATCAAGATACGTACTTGCAACAGTATGCAAAACCGTAAGTTCACCACGACCGACTCCAGTAGCTGACTGCCAATTACTCTCTGCTATTATTCCATCTGCCGTGATCGAAATTGCCAATTTATGCCAATTTAGAAAACGTAACAGACTCGAAGATGTAATTGATGAATTACGCGTCGCGATGAGTTCAATTTGACAAACTTTGCTACCCTAGAGAATTTGAACTTTATCGCTGGTCCTCGTTTTCAAGTTTCAAGGGAGGACCGGGGCGAAATACAGAGGGTCCCCGAAGCACAGACCATTCGATCTGGGGTGCGGACAAGCGAAACCCACAAAAAGAGAAAGTCAGGACAGAACAGTGTGAGGAGCCAATTCAGGTTGGCGATTATCATCACCGATATCGACAGTTTGAAACTGTAACTAATGAATTGCGAATGTCCATTGGAGGATAAAGCTTCCAGCATAACTCAGCGGAGAGCGCAGCACCTCCTAGCTCCTCTATTCAATTCTGACAAGTTTTACTTTCTCCCTGCATCGCTCTTTGACCCTAGATGACATAGCTTCAGCCTTCACATGCTTAACAATGCAAGGGAACCTCGATCTGACCACAGTTAGAAATTCGAAACCGAGTTTTTCTTGTCAACACAGCACCCAAAAACTCGCATGTTGCCTGTGCGGCGTTGTCTTACACCGAGTCCTAGCCCTCGACCAACCGTGCTGTGACGACGGGACGGCCTGGATCGCCTACAGTAAGAACTGACTGGCAACACGGCCCTCATACCTGGCGTAAGCCACAATGGCACAACCCCTCTCCAGACTCCCCTCGACTGGTATTCCTCGTCAGTCTCTGGCTTTCTTTTCCTTTTTCGCAACGCCCGTGCCATGCTGGTTTGCCCGTCTGGTGTCAGCAACGGCTGGAGGGTGGAAGAATAAGAGGAAGTCATTATATTTCTATTCTAAAGTAATGAATAATACTATAATGCTAAATAAATTCTGCAAAAACTCATCATAACTTTTAAAAGGTACTAAAAGCTTAGGATAAGGAATAAGCATCTTAGGATGAATTAATATAAAATCATCATAATGTACCTATCCGTCTAGGTGCACGATCTCTCCGTACGTACATATTTTTCTCATCCTGAGGGGAACAGGGCAGGGCAAAAAGAAGGGGTAGCTGGTAAAACCCGGGCTCCCTACCCAACCTTTCCGTATTCCATTTCCAACCTGCCATCCGTGTTCCACCTGGAATCACATTTTATCTATCTTTATCAACAACGTTATTAGCTGCTGTCGAATCCTCGGCGAGTGAGGTCTGCTTCGACTTTAACCTTCTACCGCTCCCCTCCTTCCGCGTCGACTCCGCACCTTCCCACGAACGAACGGCCGGCCAACCTTGTGGTGTGACGTGACTTCAAGATACCGAATCTCATCCCTTCCATGGCCTTTACCGCTCCACGGCCACCGCATTAATCTGTCTCGAAGAATCACCTTATCTAATGGGTTCCATGTGATCGATCACATCGCAATCCTTGATCGAAAATGCTGCGGCGACGACCTCCGGGCGAGGGTCGGGCCTCACAGCAACAGAGACTCTTCATCGCCTTTGCTATCATCCTTCTACCCTGGCTACAGCTTGTTGATGCTCAGCAGCAGCATCGACCCGAGCCGGCTTTACCACAGCTGCAGCGCCCCGGTGGCGGCAGCAGTCAGCAGTTAGCCGATGATGCCGTCATCCGCCAATGGGCCGCTACTCCCATTGACGCGACCAAGGCCCGGGAGACTGTCAAGAATGTAAAGCGAGCTTCCGTTTCAAATCAGAGACAGCGAGAGCCGCAACAGAAGAGCGAACCCGCCCGCAAGAACCGAAAAAGAGAAAACGAATACCAAAACATAATTATCCCTGACGATGCGAGCGCCCTCGCAACTTTGGCTCCGGCTCAGTCCGTAGGAGCACCAAACCCTTCACGATATCAACGGTCCAGCAGCATTCCTGCTTCTGGGCTTGCCTCGCCGCAGATTGCGCGGAGTCTGAAGGATTGGGAAGTGGAAGACTTTGTTCTTCTGGCGACCGTCGATGGAGACCTATACGCCAACGACAGACGAACCGGAAAAGAACGTTGGCATCTCGAAGTCGACCATCCCATGGTAGAAACCAAACACCACCGCTCAGAGAAGTCCATTCTCGATGAAAACTATCACCAAGTCGACCATTATGTCTGGGCTGTTGAGCCTAACCGAGATGGCGGAATCTACCTCTGGGCCCCCGATTCTAACCGTGGCTTTGTCAAGACAGGCTTCACCATGAAGAAACTTGTCGAAGAACTGGCCCCCTACGCCGATGACAGCTCTCCCGTCGTCTACACTGGCGATAAAAAGACCACCATGATTACCCTTGATGCAGCCACGGGCAGAGTTCTGAAATGGTTCGGTGCTACAGGATCTCATGTTAATGAAGCCGAAAGCTGCTCACGCCCCGACACGCTGTACGATGAGAATAACCAGGAGTGTAGCTCTACTGGAACAATCACTTTAGGCAGGACCGAATATACTGTTGGCATTCAGCGGCGAGAGGACGGTCTTCCCATCGCTACCCTTAGGTACTCTGAGTGGAGCCCCAACAACTACGACAGCGACCTATTTCAACAGCACCAGTCTTCTTTAGATAAGAAGTACATCACAAGCCAGCACGACGGCAAGGTCTATGCGTTCGATTACGCAAGGTCCGAAAAGGCAGAGCCACTTTTTAGTGAACACTTCGCAGCACCTGTAGCCCGAGTTTTTGATGTATGTCGACCGGGAGATGCTACAACCGACAGCAATCCCGACCTTGTGGTCCTCCCTCAACCGCCGATGCCCCCGCAAGATGAGACCCACGCTCGTATGCGCAGCAACAGTATCTTTCTCAACCAGACTCGAACTGGGGATTGGTATGTCATGTCTGGACGATCGTACCCTCTCATTATCCATGCCCCCATCGCTCAGCTCTCCCGTCCCGATTGGTGGGACATTGCTCCCTCGTGGGACACGATCAACCAAACCAAACTATCAAAGGTCTTGGTAGGCACACATTTCCTCGACACTGTCAATAATAGAGGAGGCACACATACACCAAGTCTGCCTGCCGGTGCAATCGAAGGACCGGAAGTGTATGACGTGTACGATGACCATGACGATTTGGAGAATAATGATTCAAAAACCACGGAACTAACATTTTCGGATGAGCCTCCTACCTTGTTTACCAACGTCAAAAAGGTACCTCTAATTGCCGCCCAAAGCATCAAGGATTTCATCACCAATCCCGTGGTCATCATCATATTTGTTTCATTACTCTATTTCAACAACAAGAATATCCGTCGTCACCTTCAGCGTGGGAAGCGAAGAGGTTTCTGGAACGAACTGCAAAATATCTTGGGTTTTGTTGAGGCCCCTGTCTTTACACAGCAACCGGATGATGTCGATAGCAGCGACACTGACGGCAACGTTGACTACTTGACCGGTTCAGTCAGCGAAGAACCAAAGCCCGCAACACCGAGAGACAATCTTGAGGAGAAGGTCAAAGAATCCGTGGTCCCTGCGCCTGAATCATCCAATTTGGAGCCGGGAACTTCCCCCCAAACACCTATCAAAGAGGTGGAGCTCAGCGATAGGGAAGCGACTCCGAAGCCCAAGAGGAAGACTCCCGCCAAGAGGCCAGTTGATGCTCCCGATACTCCTCAACCTCAAACCAAGGCTACGGCCACAAATGAAAGTCAGGATAGTGGAGCCCCTGAGAAGAAGAAGAAGGCTCACAGAGGTAGACGTGGGGGTGTCAAACATCGTAAAGGCCGTGCTCAAGAAGCGTCCCTGTCTCGAGGCGACGACCCGGCTACGGCCACTGTTGAGGATGCGGTCAACAATGCAAAGAAGCTGGGTGAGAGGCCCAGTCTCGAGCCGGACGTAATGACGGTACATGATGACATGCAGTCTGTGACAGGCTCGACGATTCGTATGGGAAACATCGAGGTGAACACAGATGAGCAATTGGGCACAGGAAGCAATGGCACTCTAGTCTTTGCTGGCAAATTCGATGGAAGAGCGGTCGCCGTCAAACGCATGTTGATTCAGTTTTATGACATCGCATCCCAAGAAACAAGGCTGTTAAGAGAGAGTGATGATCACCCGAATGGTAAGCTATTATACTATTGAAGAACAAACGCCCTAACATTTCCAGTCATTCGATATTATTCCCAACAAATCCGCGATGGATTTCTCTACATTGCCCTAGAGCGCTGTGCCGCCTCGTTAGCAGACGTGGTCGAAAAACCCAACTATTTCCGGGACCTTGCCAACGCCGGCCGACACGATTTGCCGAATATCCTTTACCAGATCACCAATGGCATAAGCCACTTACACGAGCTCCGAATCGTCCATCGTGACCTTAAACCACAGAATATTCTGGTCAATATGGGCAAGGATGGCAAGCCTAGAATGCTGGTGTCCGATTTCGGACTTTGCAAGAAGCTGGAAGGTGGACAATCGTCCTTCGGCGCCACTACGGGTCGTGCCGCTGGAACATCAGGTTGGCGTGCTCCCGAGCTTCTACTCGACGACGATGCTCGAGAAGGTGCCATGATGGAGGCTAGCACCCAAAGCGGCTCCGGTTCGGTTTTGGTCGATGATAACATGATGCCTCGGCGTGCTACTCGTGCGATTGACATTTTTTCACTTGGATTGGTCTTCTTCTATGTCTTGACCAACGGGTCACATCCCTTCGATTGTGGCGATCGCTACATGAGAGAAGTCAACATCCGAAAAGGGCAGTACAACCTAAGCCTTCTTGACTCTCTCGGCGACTTTGCCTACGAGGCTAAGGATCTTATCGCCTCGATGCTTGAAGCAGACCCCAAGAACCGCCCTAATGCTAAGGAGATTATGGCCCATCCCTTTTTCTGGTCCCCTAAGAAGAGGCTCGCATTCCTTTGTGACGTCTCGGATCACTTTGAGAAGGAACCGCGGGACCCGCCTTCACCCGCCCTGGCCGAGCTTGAGAGGCACGCAGGGGATGTGACTAGGAATGACTTCTTGAGGGTCCTGCCTCGTGATTTCGTCGAATCCCTCGGCAAGCAACGCAAATATACCGGCTCTCGCCTTCTTGACTTGCTTCGGGCCCTACGCAATAAGAAGAATCACTACGAAGATATGCCTGAGGCACTCAAACGCACCGTTGGACCTCTTCCCGAAGGTTACCTTGCATTTTGGACTGTCAGGTTCCCTATGTTGTTGTTAACTTGTTGGAACGTTGTTTGGAACGTACAGTGGGAAAAGACGGACCGCTTCCGTGAATATTATGAGCCTGCGGCCCTGTAACCCCGGAAGAAGGCACTTTTTAGTTGTTTTTAATGGTACTATTGTATACATGCTGCACAATCCGATTCGTGTTATGACAAGACCAGCCTAAGATGCTTATAAGCTTATGATAATGTGGTCATAATACTCCTAAAGTTTTGATGATATAGCCATAATCTCCTAAGCTCATGACGATATAGTCATGATAGTCATAAACATACAATAATATGATCATAGTTTATTGTAACGGTCGAAACTATCTAACTATGTCTTGAGGAGATATCTACTCAACTTAATACGAAACGACATGGCAGAATGGTGTTTACATTACTATGCCTAACTACGCTCGCTACCTGAAGACCCAACCGGTCGCTATGCCACTTCATATTCCCAGTTCAATGCCCGACATCCTCGAGATACCAACACCAATCAAATGGTACGAAATGACCTGACAATATTTACACATCGACTCTATCAAATAATGACTTTAACCCCACTGCACAAGGACCTTCTTGCCCTTCTTGCCGCCCTTTTTCTTATTACCAGCCTCGTCATCCTCGGTGGGCTCTTCACCAGCTGGTGTACTGGAGCCGCTGCCGCCCCATTGGAAACCCGTTTCACGACTTCCATAGTCGCGTCGTACGGCCCGACCATTTCCATAGCCAAAGATTGTAGTGGTAGGCTTTGGCGCTGTGGGAAGAGCAGGGAAAGCATCCTCGCCAGTAGGACGAGGAGCAGGACGGGGACGGTTGAGGGTTGTGGATTGTGAGGATGAAGGAGTAGGAGTCGTCCAGTTGGAGCGAGAGGCAGAGGATGAGGAGTTGCCGGCTGAGGGAAGAGACGGGAATGCGTTGGAGGACGAGGGGGGAGCACTGACAGCAGGACGAGCGGCCCACGATGAAGATCCGCTAGAGGATACAGGCGCAGGGCCGCCAAGTCTTGTGCTGTTCTTGAGCTTCAAGACACGGTTTGAGTACTTTTGTGTGGCCTTTGCATTAGGAACTGCTGGGTTGGCAGATGCTGCATTGGCCCAACCACTTGAACTCGAGGTTGCGCCATGCATACCACTTAGTCCAGGCAAGCTGGGGTAGTCTTCATTGATGGCACGCCAGTCCTGCCAGGCTTTGCGAAGGGCATCGGCCTTGTTCTTGTCCTCATATAGATCTGCAACTTCTCGGACCATCGTACCAAGAGCGTTTGAGGAAGTATCGGCGAAGAGAGTGAAGAAAGCATCGATGAGTTGAGGTGCAGTAAGCCCGCCTTGACGATATGAAGAGATGTGGTTTCGGAATGTTGCCATACGCTGCGCATCGTTGCCGAGGAGGTTTGATGCTCGTTCGACTACAGCACCGTGGCGTACAAGTCGGGCACGCTCCTCAGGGCTGAGGTTGGCAGGGTCCGGGACAGTAGCAGATTCGATGGGATTAGCAAGGTTTGTCTGACTGGCACGGGGAGTATTCGATGAGCTGCCACCACGAGATTGCGATGAGGCTTGGGCGGGGGTGGGTGAAGCCGCAGAGAGTGAGCCACCAAATGTGCGATTGGACACAGATTGCGCAGAATGGATGGCCATTTGCCGCTGGAAAGCAATCTCATCACGCCGTAATGGCTGGGCTGAGCTTGCGGGGACCGGTTCCATATTAGGGTCGCGGCCTCTGTTCCCTCCTCTTCGCCCCTCTCTACCTCCTCTTCGTCCTTCTTCTCTCCCACCACCGCCTCCGCCCCTCTCCTGCTGATATGGTGTCCGAATATCGAATCCCGAGATGTTGACTACTCGTGCGTCTCTGCCTGTTGCTTTACCACCGTGATCACTGAGTTGGTGAGCCTGCAAGTCCAGCTCCGACTCAAAGACTACAAATTTCTTTTCCAAACATTCTCGGTCGCTGCACAGGTAATGGTCCTTCTTGAAATGCTCTTCAAGTGCGTTGTAGTCGAGGTAGTAGTGGGGGTGTCTCGAGTCTCGCCTGTCGCAAATAAAGCAACGCTCGTGCTTCATCCGACAATGTTCGTACAGCTTGTCGTCGTCGTAAAACCGCTCTCCACAGAACCCACACAGGGGGTGACCCTTGAAGCCTGTTTGGTCTGCCGCGCCGGGTTTGTCGTCTCCATGACGCATGTGCTTCTCCAGTTCCTTATCCGCAAATAGCTCATGTTCATGTGTGAATACCCTCTTGTTACGAGTGCATAGATCGCACATGCGCTTGCGGTGAGCGGATTTGACATGGCGGTGCAAGTCAGGCCAACCGAGGCCAGCGAAATCGCAGGATGCGTCGGGGCAGTTATATCGCAGGAGGAGAACGGTATCGCCCACAATATCCTCTTTTGTGTACTTGATTCCGATGTTGCTGTCGGTGGTTGTGATATCCTTTTCTGAGTATTCCTCGAAACGTTTCTCGGGGTCGTCGGTAAAGATGACATAGGGAGCTGGGGTCTAGAACACTATTAATGATAAAGCCCTTGTTAGGGGTAAAGGGGATATGACACATACACGACAATGAGCGCAGTCCTTTGTCTTATAAAGGGCTCTCATGCGCAGGCCGCAAATATGACATGTTGTATGGTTGCAAGGCGCAATAGAGTGGTGAGCGACTGGGTTCGCGCAGATAAAGCACACTTCGCTGTCGTCATCTTCGGCAGCTTCAGCTGCTTTACCAGCAGCCATGGCATGGGCTCTGGAAGCTGCAGCGGCGACATCTTGAGCAGCCGGGTTTGCGGGAACACTAGGCACGTTGGAGTTGTTACCGCCACGGCCACGCCGTTGGCCGCCTCGTCGATTCTGATTTCCCTTTCCTCGGCCTCGTCCTCTGTTGCGCTGACCGTCGCTTTGTGGTTGAGAGTCGGAAGCTGTTACTCCGGTGTTGCTGTCCCCTTCCGCTGGAGCCATTTTGAGTTGTGCTGGGCTTTCGGAAGCTGAAATATTTGCGAATGCGGATAATGTAGAAGTCTAAGGGGTAGAGCTATGATTATGTCGCTCGGTAGAGGGGTAGTCGCTTTATCGAAATAGAAAGCTGTCAAATGCACGAGTAAGACTACAGGCAAACCGAAAATATGAGCAAGCTTCTAGTGAAGCCGCAATGATGTCCTATCAATGAATGCAAAATGGTTGTAGTTTCAAGGTGAATCGCGAAGGTGAGATGATGATGTCGACCAGATTTTATTTAGGTTTCTGTCTCTGAAATGGCGGGGCAGAACTTCGCAAACAGTGACGGAACCTGCCCTGCTGTGTGGCACAAAGCCACTTCCATCCATATCTGTGGCTGAGTAATCTCGCCCAAGACTCACAAGCATGGGGGCGATGTTTACATTGAGCCCTTTGATTGGCTCTTAAACCGTCATTTAATACTAGGAGTCACCGGCCAGAAAGGTCCCAGCCTAGAGTGACAAAGACTGGCATTCATCTATTGACTCATTAAGGCTCATCAAAGCTGGACCTCACGACAATAGTTCAACAAACTCTGTTGGTAACAAGGTTTGTTTCCTTTCACCTTCCATCAGTCGTGGCTTATCGAAGTCCAATGTCAGTAACTCATGGCATGCCTCAAATTCCCAACAACAGCTAGCACGGTCATTAACAGAGGGCAAAGCATGTATCTAATAGATTTATACAATTGAGGCCCTGGTAATCCCGGAATATACTGACGTAGCATGAAACAAGTCAAATTATAAGCCCTCCCGTCATAAGTTTTCAAATGCCCACCAGCTGACTTGAAACCAAGATACCATGAACTGAAGAACAGATTGCTAACAAATCATAATATTTTATAGAAATCCGGTCAAGCCTGATAGTAGGGCTTGACCTGTTCTTCAGACCAGTTCCAGAAGAACTCTGCCATACCTGTTCCACCTTCGGATTCGGGCAAAGCGCCCTTCTCAAGATCTGGGCGGATAGGCATGAATCGACCCCATGGAACCACTTGAAGTTGTCAGCAACTAGTCTCATTGGGCAAAGCAAACGAAACGCTTACCCCAAATACCGGATTTGTCGACTGTGATATCCTCAGAAAAAGCAGCAAATAGCTCTGTATATGCGCCATAGATAGGAGCATATGTGGTAATGGTTCTAGGATAGTACATATACCATGGCGAGGTGCGATCGAGTTCGCTTGACAGATTGCCAGGGTTAAGAGACTGGGTTCAATGTTAGTGCATGGGTCGTTTGGCTGCCACGCATAACTTACTACGCTCACAATGCCATCATCTTTGAACCTCCTGGCGAACTCTGTGTTGTGGTAGAAGTTGCCAGCCTTGCTCGTTGCGTACTTGAACACCAGATTTCGCGGCTCATGATAATCAAGGTTATCACGCTCGAATCCATTCTTTGGTGCGAGAACATCGGCTGCTGAACTAGACACCCAGATCACGCGGACCGAGTTCTTGGGCGCCGACTTCGCCGTCTTTTGAAGAAGAGGAGTGAGGTACTTGGTGAACAAGAAGTGGCCAAGGCAATTAACTCCAAGCTGGAGCTCGTACCCCTGCACAGTCTTGGACCCCTCTGGTGGTGTCATAACTCCCGCATTGTTGAACAAAATGTCGAGTTTACTCTCAGCGTCAAGGAACGACTTGGCTGAGGTCCCAATTGTTGTTAGATCCGCGAGATCGAGCTTGAGGAACTTGAGGGACCCCTTTGACTCGGGGTGCTGCTTCTTGATGCCCTCAATGGCAGCCTCGCCCTTTTCCTTATTGCGAGCTGCGACCCAGACGGTAGCATTCTTGCTGTAGAGAACCTGGGCAATCTCGCGACCGACTCCAGTGTTTGCTCCGGTAACAATGGTCACCTTTCCTGTGAGATCGGGAACATTTGCCTCGGTGAATTTTGGTTTGGGAGGAAATGCCTGGCTAAGGGCATCCAGGGGTCTCGCAGGCAGTGGCATAATGAGAGGCTATAAAGAAGTCGTCAATAGGAGAGAGAACAACAAGTCGTGTAGAAGCTGGATGGTTCAGAATCAATGAGAAGAATACAACAACATCCATGATATCACAAATCACGGGGTAGCAATCGGTAACGCGGGGCAATCGACTACCCGAAAACCGGAGCTTGAGTTTAAAGCCGTGCTTTGAGGAGAGGATTGCATAATTCGGAGCTCTCGAAAGGCGGACATGAGATACAGATGCAACATATCGACAGCACAGAAGCTGTATTTTGACTTACAAACATGAAAGTTTCACAAGAATGTGAGAGTACCCCATTTATGCAAGTGCTTACGCTGTTGGGGACCATGAGTGGGGAGTATCACAGGGAAGAACATCCACTTTCAGTAAGGACATAATCAACTTCAAGAAATGCATATTTCAAGATAGGTAGGTACAGAAACAATATTATCAAATACTGTTATTCTAGAGCAATCCCACGCTCACATGGACTGAGTTTTGCAAGCAATATCCTTCAATTGTAGGGTAGTCTTTATCCTCATTATAATGTTCCTGATTCACCGCCCCAGCGGTACAAAAGATACAATCTAGAGCCTTTCGGAAATCTTTGGGATTCATTATATAGCACCTAGCCCAATTGTCAATAGATAGACAAGAAACACTTTACCGGTACGCCGCCGCGCGCCCAAACGCTGTCATCGAAATCCTCACAGAGGGCCCCTGCATTCTGCAGATGCAGTCGCTATTCTGTTTATTCCTCGCCAACTGGGTAAAGATGGCTACCGATATCCTTGTTCATCCGAAACATGTCAACCCTTGCCTGTTTAAAGACTGCTTGCATCTTGTCGTCGCAAATGATTTGACGTTTGTCGTTCGGGTCTTGAAGGTCATTTGCTTTGATGTGTTCCCAGAGCTTCTTGACGACTTGAGGTCGTGACAGCTAGAATTGTGTTAGCATAGGTTCTACCCAAGCATACTGCTTGTAACCATCCAAAATAATTCTCAAGATGGCAATACTATCTTGCAAAAGACATAGACCAGATAGTCCAAATCAGACTACAAGCGTTTAAACTCTTCAAGCAATAGTCTGATGTTGTAAAGACATGGGCTGCATAGTCAAAGCCAGGGCTGCGGTCATGCTTAACACGCCAAGCCATGGCCCAACCTCGCAAGTGGTCTAGGATAAAGCCTTGTGTAGTACATAAAGAAGTGGTTCACATACCTGCGTCTCGCCAACAAGTTCAGAGAGGGTTTCGCTCAAGTTGAAAGGTTTCTGGAAACCACCACCAGCCTTCCTCTTCTTGCCAACCTCACCGTCGGCTGGTTCGAGGTCGCTATCATCGTCGGCCTTGACCTTCTTCGCACTTTTCTTGCGTGGTGCCGCCTTCTTCTTGGCCGGCTTTGCTTTATCGCCTCCTCGAGTCTTGCGCCCTCTGGCCAAACTGTTTTCCTGTGCTTGTAATTGCGCGGCGAGCTTGGCGTCCGCATCTTCAGCTGAGGACGATCGTTTAACCTTCTTTCGCGAAGGTTCAGGGGTGGCGGATTGTTCGGTCTCGCCTACATCGGATGTACCGTTGGCCGCATAGTCGACAGTGGAGGGAGGTTCGATCCCGTTGTTGGCTCCAGATACGGCGTCGAACCGAGCTTCGATAAGTCGTTTGATGGCGTTCTAGCAAGTCAGCAGGGAACAAATGCAGGGCAATGCCAAATGGAACGGAGAGGCAATGCTTGTATGGTTTGTCGGCATACCTTCTGGTCGCTCAGATCCTGGCCGCCAAGAGCGTTCTCCAACCCCTGCCGGATATTCTTTCGTGAGATGGTCTCAAGGTCGGACGTCTCGAGGATGTCATCAATGATAGCGGTGTAGCGCTGGAGCTCTTCTGTAGTTACTATCGTTATGTGGTGTTATTCAAGGGCCAAAGTCGCGATGAAGGGGGTCTGTGCCAAGGGGTGCCAGGGCAACTTACAAGGGACACTCATGATGGTGAAGTTGTTCGCAGCACGACCGCTCAGCTGTGTAGAGTTGTACAGGAAAAGGTTGGCAGGAGAGGCTGCTCGGCTGCAGCTACAAGACGAGAGGGGGTCCCAAACGGCGGGGGGTTAGGCGCATACAAACAGCGACACCTGCAGCCGTCCGTTTGTGAAGAAGGATGATGGAATGCGATCGCGGCAATGGTGAAGAATGCGCCCTTGGTTGCCTGTATCAAAGCATGTCCCAAATTGATTGCGCGTACGTGCTCTCGGTGATGTAGCGATTGCTTTTTTAAGTCAACGCGGTCAAATATGCGTGATGGTTGGTCGCCTAGGTCCCGCGGTCGGTCGATTGCAGTGGACGAACCGCGGCATGAAATGATGAACAGTGAAGGAAATCGATGGAGTATAGCCAATGAATGTGGCCTACAAAGAAGTGAATGGGAAATAAGGGGATTCTAGAAAAAGAGCGATATTTGGATAAGCCTAATGAAGCTATCGCGGGCTTACGTCAATTTGTTGTGTATGGATGAAGTTGATGTTCACCCGCAACCTTGGAAGTCATGGAAAGCAAGCAAGCCACCGATCTCAGTCCGATGAGGCTGCTGAGGCTCTGGTTGCCGTGGCTGGTGACCAGGGGTCTGGCCAATGAACCTTGCGTAGCATTAGGTCACCAACTCAATAAGGTAAGGTTTAAGACCTGAGACGGGAGGAAGCGTGCTTCATCCACATTGGCCCTACCCATTGTGTTTTTCATTGAGGTCACATGGGGTATGCCTTTTGTCTTTGGTTTCGTTTTCCCAGCTCTATGGGCCCATTGTCCCTCTTCACGACTGGTCAAGGCTGCTCCTTCAACACGTCTGACGATGATGAGTTGTGCAGGGACTTAAGCTGGACTACTCGATCTGATTAAGAGTTTATGATAACAACGGCAAGGGTGCTAACTGATGATCATGAACCTAGAAGGATTTCGGAAGGCTAAGGCACTATCTCAACATGATCGCGATATCAATCTTCAACCCCAACCTGTCCAAGAGATGAAACTAAACCTGAATCCAAATCTTTTAACAAATCACCCCAGAGCAGTCCACCTGGTGTGTCGATAGTCCATATATCCTCATTGAGTGTCGCATCAAACCCTGCATTGTATAAGGCTTCCTCACCAACGCTCATAACCTGATAGCTACTCGGCTCCACCACAATATCCACCGTTTCTGGGCTTTTCTGGTTACTGGCTGGCGTTGTCGCGGGTGTAGCGAGACCAAGCCTTGCGCTGAAAGCTTGGACGAGTTCCAAACTTTTAGTCTTGAGATTATTGGCTAATTGTACACCTGCTTGGGATCCAAACATCTCAAAAACCCTTGCAGCTAGTGTCAACGTCTTCCGCGCTGTGGGGGACATTGGACAGATGGGATATCCGCAAGAGAAGCCAGCTAAAGCGAATGTGGCGGTACGCTGCCAGTCAAACACTTGAAAGCACCCAGCAAGAATACCGGAATCCCTGCTGAGCTGGTGCAACATATTTGTTACCATAATGCCAGAGTTCACACAAGTAATGCAGTGGTTATCGCTATTGAAACTACCGAGTGCTGGCGTTGGTAGAAATGAGTTGAACGTTCGAGTGAGCATAATCACTAAGGAATGGTAGTCCAATTCCAGCACTAGCCGTTGTCTTTGTAGCCAAAGGGGATCTGCCTGGCTAAGATCGAGCGGCGAGCGATCAACTGAGAAGGGTACACCTTGTACCCGTGGTGTCTTTAAACTTCCAGGCAGTTTCTCAACCCAGGCTTTGAGACGCTTGAGCTGCTCATAGAGATACTTTGCGCACTTCTCTCGTGATGAGGGGTGCTGATAAAAGTCGGGTTGGCCAATCTCCAAGAGAACATCCTCCATCACCGCCGCGAATTCAGTCTGAATCTCACGAACGACCTGAAAGAGGCCTTGTCTCTCATACTGAAAGCGAAGCCAGTTGATACCCGACGACTGCGAAAGGGTGAAATTTGGACCGGCAAGTTGAGCGATACTATCAGATTCTGGGTGTTTGCGCTCATACAGACGGGGCTCTGAAATTGCGAAGGGTCGGCCCAAATGCAGAGAAACCTGTGTGTCCAATGTGACAAGGCATCTCCATAACCGGGAACCTGTTTTCGCGCAAGTTGAACCCTCGCTGTCTTGCGTCTCATTACCGTCGTCATCGAATTGCAGGCCAAGTGATTCTGCTGCAGCTACGGCAGATCGAATCATCATGTAGGCCGAGTTCTCTTTATTCAAAGCCAACAGATATATAGCGCTGAGAAAATAGCATTGCGCTGACTGTAAAGACGGAGAATCCAAATCGTCCACCAGCGCCTGCTGAGCCTGAAGGTAGAAATCGAACCCAGGCTGGCCAGGCACAACGACGTTATCACAAGCTGTGTATGAGGAGCCGAACAGTATGCATAAGGCGATTACAATGTCTACCAGGGGGCATGCCTGTCTCTTCGCATTGCCACTCCAGAGTGAGTCGTAATGTTGTCGAAAAACAGCCTCCTCGAGCACTGGATAAATCGCGTGGTAGCCCTGCCAGTAAAGGTCGAGTAAGGCGTCTTGTTGCTCACGCTGCAGTCGGTCGCAGTCAAGCGGAGATGAAGGAGCTGGTAGCTTTGGAGTTGGCAGGAGATTCGTCTCAAAATCCGTTTTGGTGAAAGACGATAATCGATGAGTGAAGTACGTCAGCGAGGATGGACCGTACTGAATGCCATTCACTCGAACCCCTTTCCATCTTGCTGAGCGTTTGCACACAGCATCACTATTTTCAGTCAAAGGAGATGGGCTTAGGAGCTTGGTCTCAAGCTGCTGCACCTGACTTCTCAGCCGTTGAACCTCTCTGTGTACTCATTAGCTTTGCACCCTTTGACAGATTCAGGCTCGACTCACCTTGTGGCTGCGGCAATACTTTTGAAGTCATCGCGACCTGAGTTTACGCATTCTCTCTTGGCTTGTTTGCAGTTCCGACAAGGTCGGGTAGAATCGCACTTCACTCGAGTTAAGCGACACCAGTCACAGGCGCGTGAGACTTGAGCTCTCTTGGGGCGGGGTTGTGAGGTTGGTGGAGAAGGGGGTTTCCCGCTGGACAGGGAATTCGAAGTTGTTATATCGAAAGTGGTAAACATTGAGACTCCGAAAGTAATTGAAAGGTTTTATCATGAGGACGTGATGGTCGTTATGTGTTGGATTATGGCAGTCTGGGTACTAAACCTCCTGGGTCAGAGTTGAGAATGGATGAGTCAGGAACACGGATGTTGGTGCATCCTATTAACATTTGTCATCAGCGGAAACCCAACTAAGCGCAGCAAGACAAAAGGCTATGGTATCGAGGGCTCGAACATAAAGTCTTACGAACTATGCCATTATGCGATTTTTAATTCTCAGCTATATTCAGAAAAGGTCTCTGGGGCTGTCAAATATACGCAAAGGATGCCAGACATGTACATAGTTGCCTTAACCTTTCAAGGCCATTGAGCCTTACATATAAAGGCAAACAACTGGTGGCCATTTGTTAACCATTTCACTCTATGTAATGTATCTATCGGACGGACCATTTGGTCTCATGAATCAAATGTATTTAAATTTCTCTGCCTGCACAAAATGCTGTCGAATGTAGAGTCGACATTGAGGACTGCGAGTCAATGATAGAGCACAGCCAATGGTAGATCTCCATACATCACAGCATCACCAAATGAGGAAGTCGGAGAAAACTCCGAAAACTCCTTATGGATCGTCTTGTTAAAGAAGTGGTCAGCCCGTCATCTACAACGAAGCGAGACAAATTACAGGTTGCCTGCATCTGTGTTTCTATGAATCGGGATCCGAAAGGTGAGCGACATGCATCTTCCCGTTCCATAAAAGGGACTGGAGAGAAGGTGCGGGTGACACTTTCCCAAACGACCTTCTTGGTTTGTCCGAATACCAACCATGAGGAAGGAAGTAGACTGTAAAATCCATAAAGGATGTCTCGCGCGGGAATATCCTGCCAACCTAACGTGCCAAAGAAGTTTCCGCTGCTTTCGTTCTTTGCCAATCTCTTGTTTGCCTTGAAGTTTTGTAACTGAACGGAGAGTGAAAGGAGAAACCTGCGACTATGATACGCCTTTGCATTCTCCTTTTTACCCTGGCTGTATATGCGGTATCTATCGTGGATACCGCAGCGCAGACCTTGGACTTCTGCGGTGAGCCGGATAAGAGTGACTATACACTCATCCAAGGTACGACAAGCCCTCGAAGATGTACTAGTGGTGGTGATTGACATGGATTCATAGATCCTTTCCTCGGTGACATCGACCATGGTCAACCAGGTATCACTTTTCAAACTGCTTATGGTGAAGAGAGTCCTCGCTGGTTCATGGTGTACCAAAACGGAATAGACGCAAAGCCGTATCGTGCGATGAAGGTATATTTACTGGCCCATGATTTACTTACAAGGTATTCAACTAACTATTTACGAGGTCTCTTCCAACACAACTGTATTTGTTGACTTGACATCATCGTGCTCTACACTCTCCGGAAGACTCGTCCGTGGTAGCGATATCGATTTCGATGGCGGTGCGCATAATCTCGGCACATGGGCAGAGATGAACTGGCAGAGTTATCCGCTCGTGTACGGTGGGGTGTCTGTCATTGAAGGTGATATACCACATAACAATCGATAGAGGAACCTAACACTACGCAGGCAATGACGGGCCGATCCTCTTCCAATCGGAAGACCTCAACACTCCTTCCATGGGCTTCACTGAAGATATTATACCTCGAGCCCCAAACGAATGCCGAGTGAAAAAGGACAGTGGAGGCATGGCGCTGAAGCCAACTGATAAGGATGGATACGACGAAGCAACGCGGGAATTCACGAAACGACAGCTAGACAATCAGAAGGTGTCTATTGACAAGAGCTATACTGCGACGGTCATGTCCCACAACGGGAGGATCAAGGTTGTTTTTCTTCATGGGAACCATTAGATAGAGCAGCCCTGGCTTGTGAGTTCAGACAGCTGTGTCGTCACTTTGAGCTCGAGCAGCTAGTCATCTTTGGTGGTTCAATATGCGTCTGGAATTATAAAAGATATGTTGTAATCTCCAGGCACTTTTCCAAAAGAGAAGTAGTCGAGATGATTGATATGTGTTAACTTTACCTGATATGGTAGCTAAATAGAGAGCACCGAGATCGATACAATTCACCCCACATTCTGCAAACCAAGTTCCAGAAGGTTATCCTGCGGGGTAGACCTACCCACGATAATAAAGTTCTAGACTTGTAACCTGGTTACGCCTAAGAGAAACACCGGCCCGGTTGAGAATGGTTATCTGGTAGACATATCTTGACCTGATGAAATTTATAGGGCTAGGAAAAATCTACAAGAGAAGAATAAATTGTCGAGCTCAGAAGCTCGATCTCGATAAGATAAAGCTCTAAATTAAGAAAACAATAAATCGAGTTCACCAAATAGCACACCTGTAGCCAGGATTACTTGTTACGAGATCATCTTATGGAGCAATCATGAATTTCGACCTTTTCCTTGCAGTGGAGTGCATGCCATCATGATCGATCAAGCATGGTCATGAAAGCGGGGGGATTGGGGAAGTGGCACAGAACAAAAAATGTCTTTGACTTGTTGATTGATCCAGCATCCTCTTGGCATTATTGTAATGAGTCACGCAGAGCCCAAAACCGGCAATCAATGGAGCATCCAACTCATCGACCCTTGAGCTCGTCTTATGACCTCAGATAAGTAATTACACTGCTTCCCCATCGCACCGCACTCTTGTAAGTCCACATGCCGGGAGCATTACCTTTGGTGAGTCCCTCGATCGCATCGGCAAAGGCAGGCCCGAGACCCTCGGCCTTGATCTGACGAACAGGATAGAGATAAGTCTTGAAAGAGAAAAGGATGGCTCGTGTCTTGGGCAGTCGAGTAAGGGTTTGAAGCTCTATGCGAAGGAAAGTCTGTGTGCATGCCTGTTAGCGGTGAAACATGATCCTGGAGCAGTGCCCTACCTTTTCAATGTCGACATCTTCATCGCTCTTGTAGGTATCATCGCCAGTTATGTGGTTACCCTGGCAGTTGAACAGCTCTGTATGAGTTTGGACGGACCACTGCAGCTTGTCAGCATCAATTCGGCGCGCTGGCTTTGGAGACTACTCACGTTTGTTCGTTTGACACTCTTTCCAACTTCCAATTTTGTAAAGAACTTCTCCATACTAGAGCCGATTTTCTCATATGATGGCACAGGCGCATGGATCTCCACAAGTGTCTTACCAAGCTTAGAGGAGGGATCGAAGCCTGACGGAAAGCAACACATAAATGCAACCGATCGGTGACCTTCCGGAGTCTCTTGTAGCAAGAAGAGATCTTCTTCGACAGTCTCACCAAGTACGCGCAATGCCGCATCCATGTTGCCTTCAGGCAGTGTGGGGAAGGACATTCCCGTGGCAAGATTATCGCACATAGAGTGGTCTTTTGAGAGTTGGAAGATGGTCGGGAAACGCTTGGGGAGCTGTTCAGATAGGAGATAGGTGTAAAGCTCACGCACAGCGGCATCGCCTTCGGGAGTACAGCCATGAACGGTAGATCCATGAGTGGCAATAATACTTCGTCGGTGCGTAACGCGGTCGAGGTAATCTTCGTCAATTGTGATGAGCTCTGACGGCGTATCTGCTCGAATAGCTGCGAAGACAATCAGAACAAAGGACGTTTCTGTCCGGTGGAGAGACCATACCCATCGTTATGTGATATGTTGGCTTGAATGGTCGTAACTGACGCCTGGGTGCAGTTTTCCAATCAAAGTCATGTAAAGGCTCAATCGCTGGCACTTTTTCAGGCGGTACTATCTCAGCCTTGACAGGTTGCAAGTGCTGTCTGCGATGGCGCATCCATCTCTTTACCTGTTGTTTGTTGGTTAACTGCGAAGTTCATGATGCAGTCAAGGCGGGTTGAACTCACAGTGGTGGTGACAACCCAAATTGATATCAAAACGGCGACTGGAAGAAAGAGTAGATTTGCAAAAGGCTGCAGAGAGCCATTGATCTGATACAAGGAAATCATCTTTGGCACTGGGTGTGGAATTGAGTGACAGAGCTGGTGATTTGAAGGGCCTTGACGGCAATCAAGACCCTTTTTATGTTATTCCAAACGCCCTTTGCATAGTCACTAAATATTTGGAGTCTATTGTTCTCCGCACACCGATATCGCGTGGAGCTCTAGCCTGATAAACTCTCAGTCATTAGCTCTCTGTAATGGAGGGTGTGGTACCTTTTGGGGTTAGAGATCAGAAGACCCGTCTGCTCTCATATTAATGCCGGGATAAGGAAAGGCTCATTAGCATTATCTACAAAACCAGTCTATCTATCCGTCCTATATGTCATCTGGTATCATTCGTCGTATATACAAATCCGGCCCGACCGGGAACACCAATATGTCTAGTCCAGTCTCGTGTCTTATCATAATTCCCACAACAATTCTATCACTTCATCCTTCATCTCCTCTATCTTGGGTGGCGTATTCTTGTGATCTTTCGACTTCTCCTCCGGGCCGGGGATGTCATCCTCAAGACGGTGAATGTAAATTTGCCGGATGTTCTTGCCAACCATTTCGGTGTCGACTAGATGATAGCTCTTCTTCAAACGTCGATCCATCTTGGATCTCATTGGGCTCAGACTCCAGTCGAATCCTTCAGCGCCCTCCCAGCTTCCCTCCATCTTGTTCAAGTCCACGCTCTCCAAGCCTGCAGAGTATTGGACTATGCTATATCCGTTTGTCAAGACTGTGTCGGAGCCAAAGGCGAAGCGTTGCAGGAAGCAACTTCCACAAAATTCGGAGATCTTCACCATCTTGTCAACAGGGGCCTGGTGCCACGACTTCCAGTGGTGTAAACTCATCGGAAGACGACCGGACTCATAGAAGCCGCTCATGTCTCCACCCATGTCCAGTTGGTGAAGCCCTTTTACGACTGTGAGCTTCGCCTTGGTCTTGCTATAGATGCATTGCTTGAGCAGACCATCGCCTTGAGGCACATGATCAACTTTGAGGCATTCCTCCAGATGAGGGTCAAGCTCACGAAGCAGGGCTGGGCTGAGGAAGATTCCTGCTCCCCCAAAACCCATGTAGCCATGGTGCTTGAC